TGCAAACCATGCTCTGAAACTCTCCCTGGACAGATGTAATAGGACCCATTATCACCACACCAGAAATAAATATCTCTTTGATATCCCCAGGGTCAAACTTAATCTGTGTAAACACTATGCAAATTAAGGGACCTAGTCTATCGAACTCACTCCCTAGTGAATTGAAAAACTGTAAAACTTTTGCCTTATTTAAAAGCAAAACCAAAAAGTACCTAATTTCATCTTCTTAGTTTCCTACACTGAGCTTTAAATTTGCTCTGTACCTAGTGTTACCCAATCTCCTAATTTTTATGTAGTATCAAACAACCTTATCATTGTGTTCATTGCTGTCTTCTTTTATGTGCTAGCCATATGCTGTATTGTGACTACCAATTTTTGTCAACTACCATTCAAGCTGTCATTGCAATCAATCTTAGCTACCTATGTGCTTTAATATACTGTACCTACAATTTTCTCTCATCTTCTTTTTTTCATTCCATGTAACTTATCACTTTTTTTGTCTATAAATTTTGTAAGTATTTACCTACTTAAAATTCTCTTAGATTAAGGACCTGCCCGAAACGCTGCGCGTACTAGTGGCTTTACAAAACTGTAATTACCATATTATGTATCCTCACGTTCCCAATGTACCTTCTTGTATATGCATAAATAAATAAATAAATAAATAACATTGAAATACTAGATGGAATATCTGGCTGTGCCTGGGTCTCTCTCTCTCTCCCACTCTCTCATCTCTCTCCCTTTATTCTCCCCCTCCCTCCTCTCTCTCCCATCTCCACCTTTCTTCCCCAAGATACCTCCTCTCTGCCATTTTCTCCCTTCTCTCCCAATCTTCCATCTTTCTCATCTCTCCCAATCTTCCATCTTTCTCATCTCTCCCAATCTTCCATCTTTCTCATCTCTCCCAATCGTCCATCTTTCTCGTCTCTCCTCAACATCTCCCTCTCCCTTCTTCCCTCACAATCAGTGATTTATAATTGATAACCTTAATGTATTTTATGGCACACTGTATTCAAATGTTAATTTAAAAGTTCTGTTATATATATATATTGGCTATCATTTTGTTTCAGGACTAGGGTGTGCGGCAGTTGTGGAGAGAGCAGCACAGCTTTTACTGACTGTAGATGTAGTATACATAGATACAGTATAAAGTAAATGTAGCATATATATGGAGTTTGCTGAAGCTTTTGATGAAGTACCACATGAAAGACTATCAAGGAAATTACAGGCACGTGGAATAAATGGCAGAATACTAGAATGGACAAAACAATGGTTAAAACAAAGAAAGCAAAAGGTCACCCTAAACTGAAATGGTGAGTGCAGTCCCGCAAGGGTCTATTTTAGGGCAAACCCTTTTTTGTATACATCAAAGACATACGGTAGATGAAAATATTACAAATAATACAACTCGCTAATGTAGTAAGAGATTGCTCAGTCTATATACTTAATTTAAAAATAGAAGAGCGAAGTACCCAATTTCCTCGCCTTCGTATCCTACCTTGTGCTTCTAACTCATTCAAAGACTTTACTATCTTGAAATATATCTACATCAAAATAATTTATCATTATCACCACCTTACCCGATTAATATTACGGTAATATAGTAATTACGGTATGTAAGTCCCCATTTGTTTCATTATGTACGTGTCGATACTTTTATATCTTGTTCAAGATTGACTGTTTCACCTTGTCACTTGTAAATTTGTTTCAAACTTGGTTAAAGCTGTATGTAGTACTGTAATATATTTCAATACTGTAATGGTTAATGTTGTGTAGCTGAATCTATATGGAATATGTTATCTTATGTATTTTTTACCCTGTGTGTCCTGTGTTAGTATTTTAGTTTACTCTGGTCAAATTACAAATTTGTGGATTTTAATGCATGAAGAGTGGGAATAATTGCATTGTTTGAAGCACCTACTCCAGAAACTCTACAGTGAGAGAGTGTGACAAGTTCTGGCCGAAATAAAATGCTCCCTCAAGGACACTATATATAAAAGCCGTCTGAATGACACCCCTGCAGGTACAAAAGCCAAGGACTATAGAAGAAGTACTGTACCTCAATGATGCCCAGGTGAAACTGCCAAGATGCGTCTACAAGAGCACATTAAAATTACCAAAGGGCTTCTTGTTCTCTTCATGCATAAAAATACATAAATACAATACAATACAATACAATACAATTTTACAATACAATACAATACAATTTTATTTAGGTAAGGTACATACATACAATAAATTTTTACAAGGATTGTTTGACTTATAGGTAGAGCTAGTACATACAATGCCTAAAGCCACTATTACGCAAAGCGTTTCGGGCATGATAAACTTAAATGAGAAAAATGATACTTAACTTAAACTTAAACTTAAATGATAAACGGGCATGAATAACTTAAATTTGTAAGTGTTCTCTAGAGAATAATACTCCCTGTGGTGTGACTAGCAAATAATGACCTCACCTTGCATGCCTCACCAGTGATATTGACCATGTTTCGAGCCACAGCTTAGCCGAGAGGAACTACATGGCACCTATCCTTCACTCTTCGTCTCTCCTGTTCAGCCAGAAATGATTGGATCCATTTATAAAGTCACTGGCAGAAAATGTTCAAGAAAAACCTAGTATGGTATAGAGCAAGGATTAAAATGTGCTCTAAGCCTATTAACAAGAGTCAAAATGTTTATGCTCATGATACTCTTGTTTAAAATTATCTCAAAATATTTAAAATTGGATGACATATTTAAAATCCTATCTAAATATCCCAAGTTTAACTACTGGAGATTGTGTATATACTGCCTGTAAGCTCTCCCTACCTTCAAATTAAAATATGTTGACCAGACCACACACTAGAAGGTGAAAGGACAACGATGTTTCGGTCCGTCCTGGACCATTCTCAAGTCGATTGTCAACTTGGGAATGGTCCAGGACGGACCGAAACGTCATCGTCCTTTCACCTTCTAGTGTGTGGTTTGGTCCACATACTTCAGCCACGTTATTGTGACTCATCGCCTGCAATTAAAATATGTTGCATGCTTACATTAACTACAATGCTGTAATTAGACACCTCTTATGACCATCTCACACTTCACTCTATATTACTTATCTGTTTTATGGTACCTGAGCATGGAACTCAATCACTGCAAACTACCTTGAACCCATCACCCAACAAAAATCCACTATTAGAACTACATATAACAAATTTTGCCTTCAGACAACGTACAGCCAATCTGTTCAAATCCCCAAACATGCTAAACATGCACACTCCACACATTATCTTGTGCCATTTACAATTACAAAGCCTTGTGCCTAAATAATAACCCTGACTTGTAGCTCTTCCTAGAGGGATGAGACACAACCTATGAACATCACACCACAAATATATAGGGTACTTAATGTAACTCAGAGAGAATGTCAGAACAGTACCTATTGTAATAAAATGAGGTAAATCATAAAGAAATATTGAGAATGCAATTGATAAAGATAATGAACGTGAATAGGCCACGAGATCAACTAGTGACGGGGGTATAACATGGAAAAGGTGGACAACAAATGGAATATGAAGTAGTCCATAAAAGTACAGAGTAACAGGTAAGTACTGATAAAGTATATCAGTACTCCATAGGATATCAGATACTCCAGAGTATCTGATAAAGGTAACAAAGGTAAGTATCAACCAACATAAATGGTTGTAACTTTAACATAAGCACAAGGTGGAGTAGGAGTACTTGTAAACTAACAAAAGGCACAGGTAAAGTAACGAGGAACTAGACCAACGATGAATACCAGAGAAAGAGAACATAAATGCGAATAGAAAACACAACTAAGCCAGAAAAATACCAAGCAAGGTTTGACTGGGAAGCAGTTAAGGAGGACAAAAATGTTAACACACTATTTCAGGGAGCTGCTAAAGGTACCTTGAGGTTACCTTGAGGTGCTTCCGGGGATTAGCGTCCCCGCGGCCCGGTCGTCAACCGGGCCTCCTGGTAGAGCTCATCTTGCAACAGGGTGTCTTCGAAAGAGCCTCCCACTAAAGTGGAAGTTACTCATGAAGGCACAAGGACGGGAAGGTCAGCCATCCAAAGTACCTTTCCTTCTCGCATTCAGAAAAGGTGGCTATTGCATCATCCAACATCTCTGACATTCCCAGAGTTCAACTAAGTCAATTCAAACATGCTATACAAGTAAAGGAATCCAATGTATGGAACTCCCTAATGAAGTAAAGAATTACTCAAACTATACAGCACTTTATTTCAAAGTAAAAAATGCAATATGTAATTTCCTCATTCTTGTACCCCTCCTTGTTGTTACTACTACTACTCAAATAGTACAATATTTTACTATAACAAAAGAGAATTCCATCATCAATATCATTTCCCACGATGACCACCACCTACTATTACTAATACTACATACAGTAATCATTACCTACAATTTAACAATACAATACAATACAATACAATACAATACAATTTTATTTAGGTAAGGTACATACATACAATAAATATTTACAAGGATTGTTTAACTTATAGGTATAGCTAGTACATACAATGCCTAAAGCCACTATTACGCAAAGCGTTTCGGGCAACAAAGAAGCACACAATCTGCCTACAAGTTACAATATTATATTCACCAATTTTAATTAATGTTCTTCATACGTATATAGTTAACTGTATTTCCGTTAACTTCCAATTATATTCTCAATACAGTATTATACTTTAGAAATTACTTTTAATACTTTGCTTACAATTGACTATCCACCTTGTAACTTGTAAACTGCTGGGAATTCCTAATATATATTTCAACTACAGTACTGTTAGCTTCAACACTTGACCAGACCACTATTGCTTACCAAACCAATACAGGTTTCAGTAGCTGAACCCATCACTCTTCTGTAGCCTTCCACTGTAACCAAGCATGGAAACATCACCTAGAAAAAGGCATTATTGCACTAGAAAAAGTTTGAAATGGTGACAAAAATCATCCCAAAAGCTGGGCCAACTTGTATAGCTTGAAAGTCTGAAGGTTACTGGACAAACATCTCTTCAAACAAGACACGGCAGAAGGCTACTCTCATTGACACCTAAAATACTGAAGTAAGAAGGCAATAATCAAAGCTATTTCTTTAAATGGTCCAACATGACTTACAAGGGGCAAACAATTTTTAAGATTAAGAAGCTGCAATGTAGAACAGAGAAGGGCAGAAGCTTTTACCAAATACAGTAAACCCCATGGAATATTGTACTTGTCAATACAATACACTACCATAAACACCACAACAGTGCTACAGTTGAGAGGCAGGACCAAAGAGCCGCAGCTCAACCCCGCAAGCACAACTAGGCGAGTACAATTCAAAATGCCGCTTGTAAAACACATCAGGAATAAAAGAGGGCCTTTAATATCCCACCTGCTTCCTGTTGCCATCAAAGCCTCTACAAATAGTGCTTGGTGGTCATTAGGTAAAATGAAGCAAATAAATCAAAATTTTAGTGGATAATTTGTTACAAATTTGTCTTTATTTTGATGTTTACACTGTTTTGGATAATGAATAAATATTAGACTGTACATACTGTATCTTATACACAAAGATGGGCAAGACTGAATTCCAAAAAGACTGAATTTTTAGAACTCTGTTCATTATTGAACTGTGACTTGGAAAGTTGGTTCTTTTCCCAGGCAGTACTGAAATGAGGACCACTGGTCTATCTTGTCCACTAAAGCAATTCCCGATGGTCCAATATTCCTCCGTCCTTTTTTTTATTTAAACTAGATGAGTACTGGATGTTAAGGTGTGTTTTTACAAGTCTGTATTTCCAGTTTTATATAGAAATAAATTATGCAAGCAGTTATTTTAAATTAGTGTCAGTTGTGTAAAATCAATCCAGAAGAATGTCACCTAGTGTGCTTCCAGGGCTCGGTGAGAGCCATTTTAAAGTGGTCATCTTCTTGAATGAAACTGAAACACTCAACTTCTTATTATATTTTCCCTAGTTTTGTCACATTTATTTTGTATTAATTGTATTATTTGGACTTTAATTTACAAAAATTAAATATTAATGAATTCGGGCATCTTTAATTGCATACAGTATTTCATTTCAATGAAATATTTCACTTATATTTAATGCAAGGACCGAGGTCTGAGGGCCGATGTGGTGATACACACCCTGGATCCTCGTTGAGCTTTCCCCTTTTGAGGAATGGGTGCGCACCTTTGCTATGACAGCATCGCATGGTGTAAACTTGAGACAAATATAGATGCATCAGCTAGTTATCACTAGTGTCATGCAGTGAATCACAGCTGAAGATTTCACAAATACATCACAAACATTTAAAAGTAAATAGTTTAAAAAAAGGTTTACAGTACTTAAAGTTCTGGTTATCAAAATATTTATTACATGTAAGGCACAAAATTACTTCAAAATGGTAACGTAGTCACTTACATCATATTCCTATTGACTAGTTAATAAATTAGGTACAGGTATTCGTTATGATGAATCAAGTGTATTTACTGTAATCAAAATAATTTACACAAACAGGTTCAACTTGTAGTGCACTTTAAACAAACATGAAATGCATTTATGTATGCTGAACAGTAATCCTTCCACATAAACATCACGTTATGAAATGAATTTTTGATGCAGTAAACAAGACAAAAATTAATGTACACTACTTCTAAGTATGTACAATAACGTGTGAAAATTTTGGAATGTAACCATATAGTAGACCTAATATATAAGCAAACGTATTGGTTGTAATTCCCAACAATATTTTTCCATTTTTATATACAGTCCTGTCAGAAGTAAAACAGTCAAAAGAGGAGTACACATTAAGGTTCTGTAGCACATTCAACGTCCTCAGTTCACAACTAAGGTGCAACTCCTGGGTGGGACAAAAACAGTTGGGCCATGTTTCCTTTCACCTGGCACCCCTGTTCACCTAGCCAAATAGGTACTCTGGAGAAGGTCAACTGTTGTTGTGGGTTGCAGCCTGGGAAGTGTCAGTAGCTGGTTTAAGGGTGGACCTCAATAGGCCTAAGTACAGGCTTCCTGTCCCTAACAATGGGAATTATAAAATATTTTGACAAACCCAGTAAGTACAAATCTTTCTGACAACACCTTAGTAGATTATAGTGATTCCTGTCTACTATTTAAACAAATGCATATTTTTCAATACATTTTTACAAAGTATTGTTGCCAACAGATATTTTAAAGACAAATAGGCCTATAAAATTTAGCCAGGGCCACAGTCAAACACAAACAGCTACCCAACAAATCAGATGAAGAAAAGGAACTTGGAGTCAAAATTCACCATTCACTAAAAGTTGCACAACAGGCAGGAGCAGCAATAAAAAAATATATACCAAACTCAAGGAATAATCTAGCATACCTTTGACTTTAAGGAAAAGAAGGTAGCGATTCAATTGTATAAATCTCTGGTGTGACCCCCACTTGGATTACTCTATACAGGCATGGAGACCTCATCTTCAGAAGGACATTTAATCTCAACTAGTATTAAGTTTTAGTCTTAGTGTTTTTCCTGCCCAAAACGCTTTGCGTAATAGTGGCTTTAGGCATTGTATGTACTAGCTCTATCAATAAATCCATCAACTTTTGTATCTCACCTTGTATGTATGTACTTTACCTGAATAAATATTTGTATTTGTATAGCTGCTTTTGGAGAAAGTACAACACTGGATAACAAAAATAATTCCAGAACTAAGTAAACTCTCATACCAGAAATGGTTGAGGGCCGCAGGTCTAACAACACTGCAAACCAGGCATGACAAGGTGGATCTCATTAAAACCTAAAAATGCTGAACAATTTAGAGGACATTAATCCAGACAATTTCTTCAAAAGTTCCAATGTAACACAAACAAGAAGCAACAAACTCAAGCCACAATGTAGTACTGAAAACAGGAGACGCTTTTTCACCCATAGGGTTATAAACTGCCTACCCACTAAAGCCGTTAATATCAAAACTCTCAGATTTTAAAATCCAGCTGTAAAAAGTCCTCAGGGCAAATGGAGGGATCTTTGACAAGCTGCCAGCTTCCTGGCCTTGTTGAGGCATCTAGAGTGTTAGTGGCCCTCAAGTAAAGTCAGGTAAAATTGAAATATTAATTAAATTGTAGGTATTGGTACGACATACTGTATAATGTGGGGAACAGTTAATGCAAGTGGAATGGAAGGTGTTAGCTGAGCTTTTTTCTTGTGTAATTTGCTCATCTCTTTTTATAATATTCCACCTCATTATCCTCTCTCTCTCTCTCTGTCCCTCTGTCTGAGTAGAATTTATCTTATGTATTACATGTCCTATTTCATGTTTTTTTTTGCAATAAATATAATGCATGCATCTCGCTGGTTTGTTTGAGTCTCTAACTCTAAACTCGCAATAGTTATGTCATTCACTTGGAGTTCCCTCTCATATTTAAAGTGCATATTTATATACAGTATTAGATTTGTACATCTTCTAAATTTTTAATATTACTGTATACATAAAATAAAAGTACGAATGAGGGGGAAAAAATTAACATCCCCGCACCCCCCTTACACTCTCTCCTAATATCTGTGTCTGTCTATTTTGACTGTCTGTAATTACCTAAGTGGAGTTACAGGATGAGAGCTATGCTCGTGGTGTTCCGTCTTCCCAGCACTCTTTGTCATACAGTATAACGCTTTGAAATTATTGACGGTTTTAGCCTCCACCACCTCCTCACTTATTCCGTCTACCACTCTGTTTACAAAAGTTAATTTTCTTATATTTCTCCGGCAGCTTTGTTGTTGTCATTCAGTCATCAATCACCTCACGCTGGCCACGGATCTCGTATCTGGTGGTCTAGTATTAGTTTAAATCTGTGACCTCTTGTTCTTGAAATTCCAGGTCTCAGGAATTCTTCCCTATCAATTTTATCGATTCCTGTCACTATTTTGTACGTAGTGATCATATCGCCTCTTTTTCTTCTAGCTTCTAGTCTTTGCATATTTAATGCCTCTAACTTCTCCTCGTAGCTATTGTCCTTCAGTTCCGGGAGCTATTTAGTGGCATGTGTTTGCACCTTTTTCAGTTTGTTGATGTGCTTCTTAAGATATGGGCACCATACAACCGCTGCATATTTCAGCTTTGGTCTAACAAAAGTCGTGAACAATTTCTTTAGCATTTCTCCATCAGTGTATTTAAAAGCAATTCTGAAGTTAGAAAGTGTAGCATAGGCTCCTTGCACAATGTTCTTAATATGGTCCTCAGGTGATAGTTTTCTGTCTAGAACCATCCCTAGATTTCTTTCTTTATCAGAATTCTTTAAAGATTTCTAACATAATTTATAGGTTGTGTGGGGTCTATGTTCTCCTATTCCACATTCCATAACATGGCACTTATTCACATTAAATTAAATTTGCCAAGTGGTGCTCTACTTGCTCTATACTTATTTTATCCAGGTCTTTATTCTGTGTATGTCTGTACCTGTATATGTCTGTCTCTACTATTTCCTTAAAGAGTATCCCTGGACCCAGGGAAAGGAGGGAATTGATCCCTTATGAGCTTGGTGTTGATGAAGCTGAAGATCCACCTCTGTTCAATCTTAGTGATATCGCACTTTGCCATTTTTACTGAGTACGATGTGGGCACAGCCTCCACACACCACCTGTGGCTCTCTGATTCAATCTGTTTTGTGTCCTGTGTAAGGGGTCTTGATTAGCATGGTCACAGAGTAAAATGGAAAGTTTATATTGAATAATGGCAAATGTGTCTTTCAAAGAAATAGACATAATATATGCTGTGCATTTATTAATAATACAATTATCATTATTATTATTTTGTAATTGCATAGAGCAGAGTATGCAAATATAAAATCCTACTACCATCCCTTCATTCACAAGCAAATTATTAGTTTTATTAGTGTGTGGAAAAGAAACATTGTTTTCAACTTACAGGATCATATCTCCAGGCCTGGTAGGGGACGCCTGGCTTGTTGAGGCAGTTGGTGGTGGACACTGGGCGTCCCAAGGAATGAGGCACCACCCAACAGAACTGTTCACTCTGAATCCTGATTGACTTATGCCAACACAGTGCGAAGTACTGTACAGGGACATCATAAAATGGGATTTGGTTGAATGAGTTTAGTTATAATGAACTTAGTAATAATAAAAATGCTGTAATAATAATGTTATACTGTCATATCAGGCAGCAGACTGCGGTTGGTTCCACTTTGTGTACCACCGGCATCAGTCTGTGAACTACTACACAAATCAAACCAACTTCTTATCCTGGGCTGAAAATCCCGACATCATTGGCATCAGTGAAACATGGGGACGTGGACAAAATAGAAGGGGAATTCCATCTCCCGGGATACCACCCACCATTCAGAAAGAACAGAACAACAAGAGCAGGTGGGGTAATGCTATACGTAAAAGAGGACCTGGATACATAATCAGGAAGAGCACCGACAAACTAAAAGACTCAAAAGCACGAGGTGTGGATGGAATCCAAACCAAAGTCATAAAGGAACTGGCAGAAGAACTATACTTACCACTGAAATTACTTTTCACAAAATCTTTGGACCAAGGGATAGTCCCTCTAGATTGAAAATATGCAAATGTCACCCCAATTTAAAAAAAAAAAAAGGCAGAAAGAGCGCAATGGAAAAATACCATTCGATCAGCTTGACATAACACATCTGCAAGCTCATGGAAAAGGTGCAAAGACATGCAACTAAATGGCTCCCGAAACTGAAGGACAAGAGCTACGAGGAAAGGGTAGAGGCATTAAATATGCCAAAACTAGAAGAAAGAAGAAAGAGAGCTGATATGATCACTACGTACAAAATAATAACGGGAATTGATAAAAATGATAGGGAAGAACTCCTGAGACCTGGAACCTCAAGAACAAGAGGTCATAGATCTGAACTAACTAAACAAAGGTCCTTAAGAAATATAAGAAAATTCCCTTTCACAAACAGAGTGGTAGACAGTTGAAACAAGTTAGGTGAGAAGGTGGCAGAGGCCAAAACCATTAATAATTTCAAAGTGTTATATGACAAACAGTACTGGGAAGACGGGACACCACAAGCATAGCTGTCATTTTGTAACTACACTTAGGTAATTATACACACACACACACCCAGCCACCCACAGGCTTAGTAAATACTGTACACTCACTCATTCTGCCTCCCAATGGGCCGTGCAGACGATGTGGTACAATACTGTAATCCATCATGTGGTTGCCTCATGGACATTCACTTTGCCGCAAAATTCAAAGGGACTTGCGAGCAAGTTAGTACAATGATTTTATGCATAAATGGACCTTGGAGAATGTTCGTAAGGCAAATATTTATAAAGCGGGAACCCCCTGTATATGCTCTCCCAACCCAATGTACCTTCTAGTATATAAATAAATATATAAAAATCTACATACCCCATAATTAACTGTATAATGATAGTTGGTAAAAAACTTCTTGCACTGCAATTTCTGTGACTCACCTGACTACCTCCACCGTGACAGCCATACATGATGATGTCACCGTACTCCTTTGACCCATTGTCTAGACACAGCGTTGGTGCCGCCACACTCTTTATCTGTAATATTTCTTATTATTACTATGGTTCATTATCCTATGGGTGTAAAATCACTTCTTTTTGTCCATTTTAAATTTTTCATTTTTTCAAGATGTCCCATCAGATTCAGATTCAGATTCAGATGTTTATTCAGGTAAGGTATATACATACAAGTGATGTTACATTAATGGATTGATATATAGATAGAGCTAGTACATACAATGCCTAAAGCCACTATTACGCAATGCGTTTCGGGCAAGAAAACATTAATATCTAGAACTTAATACTAATTGAGCATAAAGAATAAAAGATGTTGAGAACAAATACAAAAAAAGATAAAAAAAAAAAGGGGGAACATGACTGAAAAAGCAGCACAAATACAATAGGTTGACAAACAGTGTTGATTACAAAAAAGAAAAAAAAAAGAAAATAAAAAGAAAATAACAGACATGGGTTGACAATAGAGGAGTGAGGTAGATTACAGGGAATTTATTAGGTAGTGTTTAGTTTTTATCTTAAACTGGTTGAGAGAGGTACAGTCTTTAACATGGTTGGGAAGGTCATTCCACATTCTGGGCCCCTTGATTTGCAGAGCATTTCTAGTTTGATTAAGACGTACTCTAGGAATATCAAAACTGTATTTATTTCTGGTGTGGTGCTCATGGGTTCTGTTACAACCTTCTATGAAGCTTTTAAGATCAGGATTGGCATTATAGTTTAGCGTTTTATATATGTATAATACACATGAGAGAATGTGCAGTGACTTAATATCTAACATATTAAGAGATTTGAGTAGGGGTACCGAGTGATGTCTGGGGCCAGAGTTGGATATTGTTCTAATAGCGGCTTTGTGTTGGGTAATTAGAGGACGTAAGTGATTTTGGGTAGTAGAACCCCAAGCACAAATACCATAGTTGAGATAAGGATAGATAAGGGAGTCTTGAATACTGCTCAGAACTCGCTTCCCCTTTCAGACCAAGAGAGATTTTATTGGTCATTCCAGGTACAACTGAAGATTCTTAATTGCTCACAAGCAATTATGATCCTGTAGTGTTTGTTGTTAATGATAATGTTAATTACTGTAATGTTCGTTTAGGTGCCAGGGCCCTACCTGTCCCTCATCTTGTTCATCCACTGTGTACTTACATTAAAGTGTAATCAATTGACACACCCTAGTGTAAGTTACGGCAGTAAATAGGTGTATGTTAAATGAGAATGATGCAAATAGAGTAGATTATTTATTGTAATAAAATTTGAGTTACGTTGAACAGATGACAAGTAGATACTTACTGTTCCATTAGCATAGTCCGGTGGCTCAATAGGTGGATATTTTTTCAGTAAGTCAGGAGCCACATTCTCTAAGTACCACTTGAAACTTTTGCACTTCAGACGGTCACGTATCTGCCAGTAAAATATTAAAATTTATTAATCTCAAATTTGCCTTATTTTTATTACATTATGTATACAATATATGGATTTCTTGACTTTACACTCCTACTAATCATGACACCCAGATCGTTTTCAGGTTCAGATTTAACAAGTTTAATATTATCCAGCTGATATATAATAACTTTATAATATCCAATGCTTGTCAGCATTAAATTGCATCTGCCAATCTTTTATTAACTGTAAAAGCATTAAATTGCATCTGCCAATCTTTTATTAACTGTAAAAGCCTAACTCAACTTGGAGTGATATATGTCTAAATTTCCCAATATTGTCTCTGTAATGATTATGGTACAGTTGTTGATGTGCATCTTACTCAGTCAACTGGGGTTAAGCATCATTGGGTCTGGCCATAAACTGGATAGGTGACCCTGCGGACATTCTTACCCTTGGCTAGAGAAACCTTAATATGCTTAAGAGGCTTCCTGTCCCCAACAATGGTATATCATCATATTTCTAGTTGACACTCTGACAGTATCGATAATTTTAGTGTCTTGAGTCATCAAGATAAATGGTGGTAGGATTATCACTTTGCCTTTGGATGACTAACCTCCACCTCTCTAGAGACATCCCCAGGGTCAACTTCCTTCAGATGAGGGTTTTTGCGGTACAGTGCATCTGCGTACTCATCCATCCACACTACTGCTACTCTTTTGTAATTCTGTAAAGAAAAATTTAATAGAGGGGAATTATTCAATGAGAGGAAGTTACTTTTAATTATCTAGTAGTGTTTGATTTCACAGTTCATTGCTTAGTGAAAAGGGAGTTGGAGCCTGAATGATTATTGCCAAGAAAAAGAGACATTAACTGATGTAACACAAATTGAGTAACATAACTGACCTTACTGAGGAAGTCACCAGTAACTGATGGCCGGCCAGCAGGAGCACCCCTGAACACATGCCCGACCCTTGAACACGGTGCATCTAACAACCTTCCACCACACTGCCAGATCTGCAACATAATCATAACTTTAACTTTAATATAGGTACAATATAAACATGGAGGCTATAAAACAAAAGGGAACAGAGCAAAATGTTGATAGATGAAGAAAAGGACCTTGAAGCCAAAATCCACCATTCAGTGAAAGTTGCACAACAGGTAGGAGCAACATCAAAAAAGCTAAGCAAACCTTAGGAATAATCAAGCATACCTTTGACTATAAGGAAAAGAAGGTAGTGATCTAACTGTATAAATCTCTAGTGCCTCCCCAACTGAATTATTGTATCCAGGCATGGAGATCTCATCTACAGGACATAGCTACTTTGGAGAAAGTACAACACTGGGCAACAAAATTCATTCCAGAACTAAATCAACTCCCATACTGTATCAGGAATGGCCGAGAACCTCAGGGTTAACAACACTGCAAACTGGGCATGAAAAGGCAGATCTCATCGAAACTTTTAAAATACTGAACAGTTTAGAGGATGCTGATCCAGACAATTTCTTGTTCCAGACAACAAGGAGCAGTGGTTTCAAGCTCAACAAGCCACAATGTAGGACTGAAAACAGGAGATGCTTTTTCACCCACAGGCTTATAAACCCATGCAACTGCATACCTGCCAAAGCTATAAATGCCAACTCTTTACACACAGAAATCACAATAGCATGTTGCATCAAATGAACAAATGAACACTTAACTCTGTTAAATTTTATAATCCAGTTGGAAAATTGGTTAGGGTAAATAGGGGGACCTTTGACAAGGTTTTCTGTCCTCCTCAAGGCCACTAGTGTGTTATTAGCCCTCAAGTAAATCTGGGTAAATTCAGATTATGACCGAGTTAGCTGGAGACCTCATTTATATAATTTTAAATGCAATACAGTAACTTCGTTATGAATTAGTAAAGAACTTAAGAATGTACACACTAGCATGACTATTGTATTCAAGAATGGAAAGCACACATCTAAATGATGCAAGAATCTAAACAAAAAATTGTAAATCACAAGAAATGTAAAGCGAGTCTGGAACACTGCTAACAATGCAGTAGACCTGCTTATCATTCAATATAATCTCTGTTTAATCCTACTTAAAGCTAAATATCACCAGAACTTTTCTAAACTCTGGATAAAAGTGAGTAATGGAGTACAATACTGCATTTTTAAAATGGCACTATTCAATGTTGAGCAAAATGCAGGCTGCTTGTGCAATTACTGTACTTCACACCTTTCCAGTAGCCAAACTGAGAGAACTATCAGTGTACTGTACTGTGTATAATCCATCACATGTCTTTTCAATTTATAAATTGTGATTGTGTTCAAAAGTATTTCATTTAGCAGTGAGCTAAGTACACTGTACCTGTATATATATTTTGTGCAAGATTATTTTCTTAGGGAGTAATAAAGAGCATCCTATTTTCACTAGTGTATAGTAATTTGTCCATGAAAAGTTCTAACATAATTTTTAATTACCAACCTTGAAAGAAAGATCATACTGTTCACCGCCCCAGATAGCAAGGCCAGGGTCATAACCACCCAATTCCCAGAAGAACTTGCGGCTAATGGCAAACAGTCCACCATTCATCACAGGGTTCCTACAGGAGAAAGAAGCATTACACTTGAAATTATATATTCTAGGAACATTTATTTGGGGGATATAAATAAGTGTTGCTAGACCTAATTACACAATGTACTAGAGATCTACCTTAGGAAATTAGTGAACATAAAGTTTCTTATATAAGATATGATATGGTATGACTTTTCAGCATGCATGGTGAGGAGGGTACAGTAGTGTATCGCAATTATGCACACATCTTTACACGAAGCCATATACAGTATCTTGGGAGACATTAATGATCCCATTTCATCGTAAAGATGATTCAGGATCATCATCTTGAATGTTTCACAAAGGCAGCTAACAAGGAATATGTTGTAGAAGAAATTCTGTGGGTTAAATTTAGAAATAGGAATGATGATTGTTGGTCCATTGGGAGTTATGGAGTTTTCCAGCCACTGTTTATAGCTCATGTTATATATTTAAAGTACAGTACATGCATTGGTCTACAGACATTAATGTTTATATTGGTCTACAGAAGTTAAAGCTTATATTGGTTTACAGATGTTAATGATACTGGAGTTTCCACCTTTGTGTACTGGGGTAACTCTGTCCCTCATACGGATATCAAAGATGGCTTCAAGTTCAAAGTATTTATTAGAGTAATATGCTGCAGCTGGTATTGGCACATCTAAAGCTTTTTTGTACATCAACATTGCTATTTTCAGATTGATTTTAGCTCTAGTGTTAAGTATCTTGCAATAGCATAACTACTATACAAAGGAAAATTCTAAGAAGGAAATGCAATCTTAAAGCTCAGGAAGAGAAATTAGGCGACATTAGACAGCCACATTCTTCCTGTCTTCATTGAAGTCACTAGAGATGCTGGCCCTCAGGTAAATTCTGGTAAATTCATGAACTTTGAAAGCTATATAATTATACAATAAATGAAACTTGTACATAGCTTACTCAAATGGTTCTGGTAAGAGCTTCTCCTCTCTCTCTCTCAGAGGCATCCTTTTGTAATATAATCGCCAATCAAATGCCCCTCGGCCTCCGTTGTCTTGTGGCGAGTAGCCAAATGTGTCTTGATTGATGGCATCAATGAGAGGACACACAGCAGTGCGGTAGTTGAGCACAATGGGATCTGAACAGGGAAGATGGTAGGGCGAAGGGGCTGATTATCTTGTACAGAATTCAAGTTAATACTTGCTTGTACTGTACAGTATCACACAGATATGAAATTTGACAATGCTGTATACATTTTAATTTATATACTGTACTATATATAAAACTCTTTGTTTATCCACTGCACTGCGCACCTGGTTTCGGCAAATTTTTTTAGTGTAATTGTCAAGGACATATCTTTGTTGTTTTTATAAATGTTCAGGTAAAGTTAAAGTCAAAATGTTTCCAAACTCGACTATTTCCATTTCAAAACACAAAGAGTAATGAAAACACTAAAAAAACATTAAAATATATCCCAATTAAAAAATAGCACAACTCTCAGAGCACCTGAAGGTGCTTTGTGCAGTGCAGTGGTTATACACAAATTGTAATTGTTTATACACAATACAATAATAAAGACTAACAAAAACTATATTAACATTAAAGAGAGGATTTATAGGCTATTTAATTCTATTAAGCCAATTATTTTGGCAGATGCATTGCTGTATATTCATACTGTAATTAAAATATTAAATGCTGTAGTGCAAGAATAATTATTGATTTTTTACTTCATTAAATGTCCGCTTTACTATGTGCACTTATTATGTGCTGAATACTATGTACGTAGTGTTATCACAAATGTGAACACAAACATCATTTTCATAACCTAAATATTGATCACTAACAATCATGCACTAATATAAATAGGATTTGTTTAGTAACTTTAAAAAAATCATGCATAAAAGTTTACTTCATAGTGTAATTTTTTGTTTACTAGTACTGTATAAATAGTTTAAAAAAAATAATAAGCTTGAATTTACCTAAAAGTGGCGGGAGCCAATTGACCATGACCTCACAGTGGGAGTCAAGGACAACGATTGTGTCTGCCGTGGCAGCTTTGGCCCCTTCCTGGCGAGCAACAATTAGCCCAACACGACTAGGCAGTCGTATTACCTTAGCGATGGGCACATGCTCAGCTAACCACTTGTCCAGTGGCTCCTTTAGAAAGTCTGCAAACAGTTATAGTGGTAATGGTGAATCGCTCACTACTATCAGGGTGTGGATGATCCTTTGTTGCTATCTAAAGTTTAAGCTACAGAAATAAAATGCCTGTACAGTACTGTACTGTAATTTTATGTTGAAAAATTGGTTATAATGTATGAAATAGGGACAGCCAATCTATTTTACTACAGCATGTTGATTATAGGTACTGTACCAATAAAGTTAAGACCTCTAAAATGCCTGATTTACCTGAAGTACACTAACACTAGTGGCCTCGACAAGGACAGGAAGTCGGCAGCTTGTCAAAGGTCCACCCCATTTGTCCTGATGATCCTTTTCAGTTTTAATATTTAACTTTAATATATAACCGAGTTTTGACATTTATGGCTTTGGCGGTAGACAGTTCCATGGGCTGAAAACCATGTGGGTGAAAAAGCATCTCCTGTTCTCAGTCCAACATTGTGGCTTGTTGAACGTGAAACTGTTGCTCCTTGTTTGTGTTACATCTGACCTTCTGAAGAAATTTTTCTGGATCAACATCTTCCATATTGTTCTGTATTTTAAAAGTTTCAATAAGATCTGCCCTGTCATGCCTGGTTACTGAAGACATAAATGCAAAGACATTACTTCACTTTTAAATCCAACTGAAAAAGTCGTCAGAAACAATATGGAGACATGTGACAAGCCACTGGTTTTCTGTCCCCATTAAAGCCACTTGAGATGGTGGCCCTCAGGAAGTAAAAAATATAGAGCTACTAAATAAATATGCACTATATCTAAGACAATCTTAAAAAAAAGGAAGGTTTACATGATAAATTTTAGGGTAAAATTTAATGCAGTACTTATTTAAATTGGTTATACAGTATGTAGTACACCATTATATAGCATTTGGATCCAAATTCCAGTTAAGAACCCTTTATATGCATGGGATTTCTGTTGCCTGGTGTTGGAGTTCACAATTGTTCAGAGTTAGTATGGATCTCAGGTATCATAGAACCCCAGGTTCTAAGTAAATAATATAGTACTATATTATGAGTGCAAAAGTGAGGTAAATAGTAATGGATTTTATAGAATATGGTAGGCTAACTCATCCTTGCTTTGAATCATAGTAACAATATAGTGGCTACTGATATTGACTCACCCTTAATGGTACTACCATCATCAACTAGGATAATCTCCTTCAGAAGTTTTTTGGGCGAGCGGTTGAAGACAGAGACAACTGTGCGTAGGAGAGTGGTCCAGTGCTCCTCGAAGAAGGGAATCACTACGCTCACTGTTGGCAGTCTAGCGCTGTACAGTTTGGTCTTACATCTGAAAACAATAAAAAATAGAAGCATACTTTGATTGGCCTCCATTGGTAGGTAGAGTACTATACCTTGCAGTTACCTTGCGATGATTTCGGGGCTCAACGTCTCCTTGGCCCGGTCCTCGACCAGGCCTCAGTACAGTATACAGTACTACTGTATTTATATGTAGGTTTCAATTGAATTACTAAATTTGCATTTAACACCTGTAAGTTTTGACTGAATTATTTAACATCTGTAAATAGGTTTGGCACTTACCTAGGCCAACATTGTTTACATATAGTATTACATTTTTGTATTTCTGTTATAAATATAAATAAATAAATAAATGTTTATTCAGGTAAGGTACATACATACAAGAGATTTTTACAAAAATTGCTAGGTTTATAGATAGAGCTGGTACATACAATGCCTAAAGCCACTATTACGCAAAGCGTTTCGGGCAGGAAAAACTTTTGCATACATACATCTTACTCCTGAATATATTTCATATGAATGAAAAAATATTGTTTGGCCCTGGCTCCCATCACAAGGTAATGCTGACAAATGCCAGGCCTGTTGACCACTGTCTAAGCCAAACCAAAATTAGATATACTGTATGAGTTGGCTTCGACTTTCATTACTTAATAATAACCATAATAATTCATTGTGTCGGGGGACAGGAAGCCAGAAAGTATTCGTACATGTTAGGCTTATTACAATATCTCCCCCCCCCCCCAAGGTCGAATTACTGACCCCACAACAAGCTGACTCCTGACTACCTACTTAAATTTTGCTGTTCACCTAGCAGTAATTACTTCTAGGTGAACAGATGCATTAAGTGAAAGGAAATGTGTCCAACCATTTCTGTCCATACCAGATCTACCATAAGAAAAACATGAAAACATTTTTTTCTATTATGGTGACAGTTTTGATAATACAGTAGTTACATTTTGAGTGCTACAGATCACATAAATGTTTAGTGATCTAAAATCATGTACATGTACTGTATTTAATGAGGAAAGGTTCTAAATTGTACCTGCTTCACACCACCTGGTGATCTTCCTTGTTCAGATTACCATCTTGAGTACAGTACAGTACAGTACTTACACAGTATAAGTACATCAACGTTTTGTATCTCACCTTGTACGTATGTACTTTACCTGAATAAATATTTGTATTTGTTGTACTTACTTTGGATGACGAATGTCCCCAAGTGACCGGTCGAGGGCCAGGTCGTCACTGAGGAGAGCATTAAAGCCATTTGTGTAGTAGAGATCATCCCTCTTCTTCTCCAGGCCAGGGGGAAGGAAATGAGGTGAACCCTGTTCTCCTGGGCCCTTCCTGGCCTTGTCCAGAGCCTCCTGTGTGTGGTTGTGCCAGTCCACCAATGGCTGTAATTGGCCCTCCACGACCCCTGACTCCGGGAAGGCATTGATCTGTAACAGCATGAACCATTAGGTAATTATCAGCATAGAGCTAAATTAGAGCTAGACTCGGAAGGAATATGTGAATAAATTAAGCGCAGAGATGTTAGGATGGCGTAAAAGGGTATAGTGCTCAACCACTTGAACACTTGAGTGAGTGGTGACCTTGTGCTAAATGAGGCCATCACCATTACTGACCAGTCCACGTGTTCTTGTTAATTGAGGGGCGACAACCATTGAGGAATGGGTTGCGCCCCGGCTGCCTGATACAGGAAAGTAAGGAAGAGGGATGGGATCCTACAACAAGAACAAGAACGGTGAGGCGGGGAATAAGCAACCTACGGACGCTTCACTCAATGGTTTTGAAGTTTGTGGTAAAATGTCATACATTCGTAGCCCCTGAACCGGGGTCAGAGGTCATGTCATACGGCTGGACGCTCCCACGTGGTCTGATCGTTAGATCGGCCGGGTTCAGCTAGCGTTAAGGTTAATAAAATGGAATTTCTAGTAACATTAATTTAATTGCTTATTGTTAATGACAATAATTGTTATTTTTGGTAAACATATTGCTTAGTGTTATAAACAATACTTGCTCGTTGTTAACTACTCATTATAGTGGCTTGAAACTGTGTGGGGTTGTCTTACTGCAGGTTACTACTCTGCAATTATATATGATCAATAAAGCCACTAGTCTGACGATGCCTTTGTTTTACCACAAAGATGATAGAATGTAAATACGTTTTAGCTGGCTTTTGATAATTGGTTGAGTTTGTTTGATGTGCAGTGATTCACCCTTGTCAAATCTTCTAGGGCCATAGTGGCCCCTGAGGTAAATTCAGGTAAAGCATATTGTTTATACCTCTAAACTTCATCATATTGATATCATTTAATTAATATCATTGTGTCAGTATCTTCAGCAAGTATCAGCATCTCATATTTGGGTAGTACGTGTTTCTAGAGAGTTGTATCCCACTCGATATTGCCATATTTTCTCAACCACTGCAGGTGTTGTATATCAAGCCATACACCGTTCATGTGAGCCGGCCGCAACACCTGTCTACACACAGGTGTTGAGTGGCTCTGCCGATCTACTTAGATCTGTCTGATCTAACACACACGTGTTAGATCTGATATATTAATAAACACAAAATATTCGCAATACTTGCATAAAGGTAAAAATAGGTCCTAAACAAATGCCGTGTGTATATAAGTATTGTGGCATGAACAAGATCAATACTTGGTGTGTGTGAGGTTGTAATATCCATGTCTATATTAAAAGATCAATACATGCCAGACGACTTACTCACATTCGCTGCCACGCATGAATGAACAATAGGGTGCCATCACGGTAGTTTGTACAAATATGGTGCTACAGGTTAAGTTAAGAATGTGGTGTTGTTATAGCTACCTAGAGTGGCTTAATTAACGCAGTGAGTTAGGCGCATCTCTTGGTCAGTTAGAGTTAAGCACTGTTGAGTCTGGCCAGTAACTGGATGGTTACCTCTTTCCGACTATGGGAGACAGACCAAACCTAGAAAGGTTGTGTAGTTTGAAGCAATTGTTGGAGCTTCAATTTACTTCCAGTCGTTTCTTTTGCTAGGCTTTCTCTCTGATACAAGTACCTCTGGGAGTTTACACCATCTACTGTTATAGATCTTACTAAATGTAAACTTTTTAATTAAAACATTTACATATCCTATTTCAAGAATTGAGACAATCCTAATTGTCACCAGCAAGTTTGAATTGAATTTACTTTGAATTTTAAGTTTACTTGCCCTTGTAACTTGTTCATAAATTTGACCCAAATTAAAAGTGTAACTAGATCACATCAAATGTAAACTGCTTGGCATGGAAACTCTTCCTGAACTCATAAATGACTAACCTTTCCGATATAATCAAAAGGATATGGGTATGAGGACCATAATAAGCGGGGGATGGACACACACACACACACACAATATATATATATATATATATATATATATATATATATATATATATATATATATATATATATATATATATATATATATATATATATATATATATATATATATATATATCCCGTGTTCGTTTGGCTAAGTAAATATGTGAGCAAGTTGTTATATGGGTATTAGGCTAGTTACATTACTCTGATCAATATTTTAGTAGGTAAGTAAGAAGTAAATTGGTAAGTAAATATATATTTCATGGTCTATTACAGTTTAGCACGTTTGGCTCCAATACCGAATTTTCCTTGATTCTGTTGGATGGTGTTTTATTAAAGCCTAGAAATTATATATACAAAAAATTATAATGCCTTGTTTAGCGATATTAAGACCGTCGTCGCACGTGAAATATACTGCATCTACAACATTCCCCAAGTCTGAACACTAGGTAAAAATGCCATTCAAATAGACTGAACAGAGGCGAAAAGTTAAGAATTGATTAAATTGAATTAAAACTTCTCCGCCTTTTTCCAGATTCCCCCAAGCCCTCTCCTCTCTCAACACTCGGCGGCGTATGCGAGGCTGGCTAACATCAGAACTGCCTTCAGAAATCTTTGCAAGGAATCCTTGAGAACCTTGTATACCACGTATGTAAGTCCATTCCTGGAGAACGCGGCCCCATCATGGAGCCCGTACCTTGTCAAGCACAAGACGAAGCTGGAAAAAGTTTGAGGTATGCCACTAGGCTAGTCCCAGAACTAAGAAGCATGAGTTATGAGGAAAGGCTGAGGGAACTGCACCTCACGTCCCGGGGAGACATGATCACCACACACAAAATTCTAAGGGGAATTGACAGGGTAGACAAGGGTGGATTATTTAAGACGGGTGGTACACGCATAAGGGAACACAGGTGGAAGCTGAGTACCCAAATGAGCCACAGAATCATTAGAAAGAACTTTTTCAGTGTCAGAGTAGTTAGTAAATGGAATGCACTAGGAAGTGATGTGGTGGAGGCTGACTCCATACACAGTTTCAAATGTAGATATGATGGAGCTTCAGAAGCTCAGGAACCTGTACACCAGTAGATTGACGGTTGAGAGGCGGGACCAAAGAGCCATAGCTCAACCCCCGCAAGCACACCTAGGCTAGTACAACTAGGTGAGTACATACCCGTCCCTACACTCAGTACCCGTCCAACAGTACTCTCCAGCTCCCACTATTACACACACATAATCACATATCATGTCACCGCCTCTTCCTTTGAGTAAGCAATATTTTAACATGTGAAACTAGTGCCATATTGTTCTCCAATTTTATAAACAATATGGCGCTAGCTTTACATGTTTGGTTTCAAATAAATTCATGCATGTCAATATTGCCATAATGTATAATTATAATTTAAACTTCCAAGTTTATCACTATAATAGTTTAACTTTATTCGGAACAACTTATAGAGATCATTACAACATTGGCTGGACTAAACAGTCTACAGCAGTCTAAATCAAACTGACAAGTTATGGCATAAGGCGAGTAATTCAGCTTAAGGCTTAAAAGATGATATACATTAGATAACTATATCACCTTTCAAACTGTAAGGTAAATATTTGTCTTACTTTATGCCAGAAATTATAAGCTTGAGTTTGATTCGTATATTCCTTGTTTAGTCCGGCCATTATTGTAATAATGTGTATGTTACGAAAGGTGGAGGGAAGATAAACAACAATCATGATTGATAGATTGATAAAGATTAAGCCAGCCAAGAGGTGGCACGGGCATGAATAGCCCGTAAACAACAATCATGTGTGGTGTAGCGTATAGATGATCAATAATCCACTCTACCCGTGTGTATAGTACACTCTTAACAGTTCTTGCACCTCATTTTAGTTCATTTATTTTACACACCATGTCCATCCTATATCACAGCCCCGCTCCTGTGCCAGGTAAGTCCTCTACGGGCTCACCATAGCCCGTGCTACTTGCCCCGCTCCTGTGCCAGGTAAGTTACGGGGTCACCATAGCCCGTGCTACTTGCCCCGCTCCTGTGCCAGGTAAGTTACGGGGTCAACCCGTGCTACTTATGTTCCGAGTAGCTGAATCTATAACAACAACAACGTCCATCCTATGAGCGACATGTATGTATGTACTCGCCTAGTTGTGCTTTGCGAGGGTTGAGCTCTGGCTCTTTGATCCCGCCTCTCGTGTATGTATGTATTTATGTAAGGGAAAAACGAAAACAATGTATATACAGTACTGTACTGATAACGACATGGTACTAACAGTAACTATAGTAGTAGCATATATGGTCAGAAAATAAATACAATCAATAAATTTAATTGACGTTTATGATATTTAAATACCGGTATTTGCTGTTAGATGTAAAGTGTAGGAGAGAGGAAGTATAATATGATAATGATAGCCAGAGTGACAAGCCAGTATGAGTAAGTAGTAGATAAGACGAGCATGATACAAGGCTCCACAGTACCCACAGTACCCTGCCCACCACACCCACACTTCTAACACTTACAGTTCTTCTGACCTCTTGGTCATCACCGCCAGAGTCCTCCAACTTGTCGAAGAATCCTTCCGGACTGTCTTTAACGCCGAGTATTAACTTGCGCCTCACAGCATGCCACTGGTCGTCCGCGCCTCGTTTATAGACATAAAGCAGTGCCAGGGCCAACAGGAACACTATATACACGTGTCGGTATATTCCTCTTCTGAATAGTTTCATGGTATATGTTAGTATAGTGGCGCCATCACAATCAAAATAGTGAACTGGTAAGGACCTCTCAGGGCGGGTGAGCAGGACTGACTGACAGCGCTGCGGCCCGCACGCCAGCTGCTGGTGGCTCTCCACGTGTTACCCCGGCTACTGGCGGCCACTGGCGGCCAGTGGCGGGGGGCTAATGTCGGGGGCTAATGTCGGCTAGTGGCGGCCAGTGGCGGGGGCTAATGTCGGCTAGTGGCGGGGGCTACTGGCGGCGTCTACTGGCGGCCACTGGCGGCGTCTACTGGCGGCCAGTGGCGGGGGCTAATGTCGGCTAGTGGCGGGGGCTACTGGCGGCCAGTGGCGGGGGCTAATGTCGGCCAGTGGCGGGGGCTAATGTCGGCTAGTGGCGGGGGCTACTGGCGGCCAGTGGCGGGGGCTAATGTCGGCTAGTGGCGGGGGCTACTGGCGGCCAGTGGCGGGGGCTACTGGCGCCACTGGCGGCGTCTACTGGCGGCCAGTGGCAACGACCAATAATTAATTAACAGCGGCGACGGCCGGCGCCCGACGACAGCTGCCAAACCCACTGTTCTCATCAAATTTGTTTGGTGTGCCGAATATTGGTTACCGACCGTCCAAGTGGTGGTGGAGGCCAGGATGGTTGAAGGAATGATCCCATATGGCCAAGCACCATTCTTGCCTAGTAGCAGTCCCCGTCCCATCCCAAATCCTTATCCTGGTCCCTTCCAAGTGCTATATAGTCGTAATGGTTTGGCGCTTCTCCTGATAGTTCCCTTCTCTTCGCTGAACTATACTTAGTTTTAGAAACAAATTATTTTTTTTACAGATACTGCATGACGAGTCTTTGCGATTACTGTCCAGCACGTTGCAGGAAATGCTGTAGTTATAGTGACACTGGTCTGTACCAGCTGATTGATTGATAAAGATTAAGCCACCCAAGAGGTGGCACGGGCATGAATAGCCCGTAATCTGTACCAGCTGAATGGATGCTCTTTTTGTATACAGTCATGTGTACGCCAATTGGATCGACAGCTGTAGAACACGTATACGTGGCCTGGCATGGTACAGATGTGGCAGATAGGGCTGCACCTGTCCTGTGCCTCACAGCTGTACTGTACCTAGCCACATCACACTGCAATCCACCGGCTGCCGGTGATGATAAATATTAAGCCACCCAAAGGGGGTCCATCTAATTACCGAAAGGTGGCACGGGCATGAATAGCCCGTAAAGGACTGCTGGTATCGGGAGGATCTATATATGAGATGAGGCGGGAAGAATTCATCCAATACGTATACAGTACATTCCTAATTAAGAGGCATATAGGGATAGCGTACGTAATCGAAGGTGGCTTGTACGCCATGCCAGTGACGTCACAGCCACGTGCTGTACGTATATAACACGTGCTCACCATGCAGGGAATGTCAGTTCGAAAGGATGAGCTTTATCCGTGTTCTGGAGTACTTTTGGCGACAATAAGTTCTCACCAGAACAACCATTGAACTCTGCATATAATCTTAGTATGGGTAATCAGTATTATACTTGTTTAAAAATTGTTTTAAAGCACAATTAATAATGCCATGCAAGATCATCTATAATCCAACTAAAAATCCAATTGGGCGCCGGACAGCTGGGTGGACAGTGCTTCGGATTCGTAGTCTTGAGGTTCCGGGTTCGATCTCTGGTGGAGCCGGAGACAAATAGGTAAAATGTTTCTTTCACCCTGATGCCCCTGTTACCTAGCAGTAAATAGGTACCTGGGAGTTATACAGCTGCTAAGGGCTGCTTCTTGGGGGTGTGTAACAAAAAGGAGGCCTGGTCGAGGACCGGACCGCGGGGACGCTAAGCCCCGAAATCATCTCAAGATAACCTCAACATAACATTACACTCCAACGAAACTTAATTTTTGAAAATACAGTACATCTATTTCAAAATCTTACCGGAAGTCTATATGTGGTTAAGGACAATAGGTTAAAAAGCTGTAAATTCAAATAAATCCACATATAACCTCACAAATATATACCTGTACTGTATAAAGAGCCATATGCTATTTCTTGCTCCATCTTCCGGCCCCTTATATATCTTCCCTACCGTTGGCCTTCCTCTTCTACTTTCCCGAAATTCACTTAAATACACACTTCACTAGTCTATCATCCAGCATTAGTTCAACATTTCTGAACATGTAAAATTGAGACTTGCCATGTTGCTGGCTTCCTGTCCCCGTCGAGACCACTAGAGAAATATGTTAGCTCGGGCAAATTTTGGTATGCTCTCTTCAATCTTGCAATTTTGCAGTCTACGAATGAATGGGATATGATTAAATGTACAGTAAATAGCAGCTGCATCACATATGCCAATAACCTACTAGAGTTTTCCTCTATTTCTGTGTTTTTATATTTTGTTTCCAACTGTTAATGACAATATGCGGGACATTTATGGGTCATTCATTGCTTCATCCCTAGAATGTTTAACAACTGATTTGACTGAATTGTGACGAATGTAGTTTCTGGCTGTACAGTGCAGCAGTGCATATTTTGGGCAAAAACTAGATCAGCCAAGTCCCAATACCCAGCATCACAATTATCATAATTCCCATCACTGATTACTGACAGGAATTGACACTCGAATCATCACTTATTAGCTTAAATACAGTAGAACCTCTGTACTCAAACTTAATTAGTTCCAGAAGGCTGTTCGAGTGCCGATCTGTTGGAGTACCAAATATTTTTTCCCATAAAGAATAATATAAATTGGAATAATCCATTCCAGACCACAAAAAATACATATATGAATACAGATAAATGAAATGCAAATTTATTCTCACTTTACCTCTGCACTTAGTTGATGGTGTATGTATAAGGTGGCGAGGCAGAGAAGGAGAAATATGTTATTGTTTGGCAGGGGAGGTTCCTATCATAAAACTTTAATTTTCCTTTTGGGGTTCTTTCTCTTTCTGTTTCCCTCTTGAGACTCGCTGGATGCTTTCCTTAAAAGAATACCATAGCTCTGTAGCAAGAACAGACATACAGGCACAACTTTCATCTTTTGCTGAGTTTTTTTTTCATCTCCATCATTGTTCAAACAATTTTTTGGGGGGGCTCATTATTATCATTGCTTCATTATCAATCATCACTAATTGTTTCACTTAATTTTTTAGGTGCCATGTTGAGTTGTTTATGCTAAGAATATCAAAATTACAGAGAAGTTTAGTTAGGTCGTGCAATGAATGACAGCTACTGGTAAACTGGCTTGTCCATTATGCATTTATGTTTGAGTGCCAAGCAAATGGTTAACTACTGAGCACAAACATTGTGCGAGTGCTGATTTGCTCGAGTTGGGAGCCATTCGAGTACCAAAGTTCCGCTGTATAGTACTTCCCACGTAGACAGGTTGGTATTTATTCAAGACTTAAAATTCATCTTAAATTTTGCAGAACAGGAGATACTAAAACATGCTGATACTGCATAGAGTTTTGGCTACATAGTTTGCTATTTGGATTCTTGTTACTAATCTTTTAATCAATGGGCAAGGCCTTTAAGTAAGTTTTGTAACCCCAAATCATTATTAATTACAAAAATCAAGTTAAGTCTTACTCTAAAATGGGGTTCAATATTTTCATAACAGAAAACTTTGTCTAATCAAGTCCACTAATTACTCATTACTTACAGTAAATGCTGTAATAATGAAGGTTGTCATGCAGGCATATTCTTCTCCTTCTATTTTCCAGGAGAAAACCTGATAACCGCTGTGACTGTTTTCATCATGCCTAACATATTGCAAAATCTTGTCACAACTAAGAGTTCCCTTAATGTATCCGTACAGTTATCTTAGATTTTCTTGGCCTATTGATAGATTGGTTTCTTGGCCTATTCCTAGACAAGAGACTCAACTTCAGCACCCACATTCAACACATAACTAAGAAAGTCTCTAAGACAGTTGGTATACTCTCCAAAATCAGATATTATGTTCCTAACTCTGCTCTCCTCTCACTATATTATGCACTAATTTACCCCTATCTTAATTATGGCATCTGTGCATGGGGGTCTACCACTGCAAACCACCTTAAGCCCATCATCACACAGCAAAAATCTGCTATCAGAATGATAACTAACTCAGCTTTCAGACAACACTCAGCTCCCTTGTTTAAATCCCTAAACTTGCTAAATATTAACTCCCTCCACACATTCTCTTGTGTCAACTACATTTACAAAACCCTGTTCTTAAATGCAAACCATGCTCTGAAACTCTCCCTGGACAGATGTAATAGGACCCATTATCACCACACCAGAAATAAATATCTCTTTGATATCCCCAGGGTCAAACTTAATCTGTGTAAACACTCTATGCAAATTAAGGGACCTAGTTTATGGAACTCACTCCCTAGTGAATTGAAAAACTGTAAAACTTTTGCCTTATTTAAAAGCAAAACCAAAAAGTACCTAACTTCATCTTCTTAGTTTCCTACACTGAGTTTTAAATTTGCTCTGTACCTAGTGTTACCCAATCTCCTAATTTTTATGTAATTTCAAACAACCTTATCATTGTGTTCATTGCTGTCTTCTTTTATGTGCTAGCCATATGCTGTATTGTGACTACCAATTTTTGTCAACTACCATTCAAGCTGTCATTGCAATCAATCTTAGCTACCTATGTGCTTTAATATACTGTACCTACAATTTTCTCTCATCTTTTTTTCATTTCATGTAATCTGTTATCATTTTTTGTCTATAATTTTGCAAGTATTTACCTCCTTAAAATTTTCTTAGATTAAGGACCTGCCCGAAACGCTGCGCGTGCTAGTGGCTTTACAAGACTGTAATTACCATATTTGTATCCTCACATTCCTTATGTACATTCTTGTATATGCATAAATAAATAAATAAATAAATAAATTTTCTCTTATATTATGGGAGAGTAAAAGACATCTTCCAATATTGAATAATTTATTACAAAGTTTTTCCATTAATGATCATTTTCTACTTACATTTGAGAACAGGTTACTTAGTTCTCTATTATTCTCAAGAAAATGATTCCTGGTGATATTGGAATGGTGCTCCTCTGGAAATTGAGGAAAGACAGTGTCGTCTCACTTGGTGTCGCATCTTTGCTGGACCACACGCAAACACTCCAACCTTATCCCTGAAGTAAGTTACATCAATATTATCTTCTTAAATCATTCTAAAATAAATATATAAAAATATACAGTACTGTATATGGATATACAGAACTGTATACTAATATACGCTAATATTACATATGTGCATTGCTGCTGTGGTTGACTGGTGGAGAGAGGCAGTGCTTGTTTATCCATGATGCTACATATGACTCATTGTGTCGGGGGACAGGAAGCCAGAGTGTATTCATAAATGTTAGGCTTATATCGAGGTCACCCCCCCCCCCAGGTCAAATTACTGACCCCACCCAGGATGCAATGCTACAACAAGCTGACTGACTCCTGAGTACAGTACCAATTTACTGCTAGGTGAACAGACACATTAGGTGAAAGGAAATGTGCCCAACCATTTCTGTCCCGCCCGGGATTCGAACCCGGAATTCTCGATTGTGCGTCGAGAACGAACCCGACTGTACAAAAATTAGTACAGTTTTTAGTACAGGGTTAGTACAGCCGGAAGAATTGGTCAAACATTGTAGGATATGCATTCTTTAAACTAGGCACCTGGACACAAGTCACTTTTTACTCCTGACCCAAAACTGGCTGAATGACTGTAGTCACTTTTTTGCAGGCGACTGATTATATTTTTTAGATTTCAACTCTCAAAGTTTTCTACCGATTCATATAAAGCCACGCGAAACAGCTGTGAAGATTTTTGCTGGAGTGTGATGGTGCTGATTCTATGTGATGTTAACGTTAATGTGGAAGATATGAAGAAAAGTACTAGCACTTTACAACATACTGTACATATAATGCAGTTTAAATGTAAATTTGGAAGAAAACATTAATAACATACCTTATGTATACCTGCTGCCATTCTCTAAACAAATGCTTCCAGACTGGTCGACCTTGAGTAATTCGCGGCAGCAAGCTGGGATGTTCTTTAGCAAACAAATCCTGCATAATTAGGGTAGCTAATTAATTATGCTGCTAATACCCATCCTTTAAGTGGTAATGAAAAAGATTACAAGTATATAATGGGCTCAGAAACTGAACCCCTGCATAACGGGGATTCATCCCTACTATGTATGTTGCGCCATCTTTACCAATGTACAGAATAGTCTCTCAATGCAGACTAATCCCCCAAATTTTTCAAAAGTTAGACTCTATAAATAGAAGGATACAAGAAGTTAGCATTTGTACTTATAAGCAAAGCAAGAGCAATATATAAAAGTGGAACATGTGAACAGCATTCATAAGTTATGTCACTAAGACAAAGGAATTAACCAGAGCACCAACATGGCAAATGATACTGCACAAACACTTTGCTTATTTTTTGTATTATACAGTATCACCAACAATGTTATAATTGGATCAGCTGTACCATACTGCTCAAGTTATCAATACTCAGCAGTGTGATGACATGTATTTATAATGTAAGCAAGATATCAATGGATATTACTTCATTTAAACAAGGTGATAAATTTGTCATACATGTAGATTTTCACAAAAAATGTACTAGATATGACAAGCAAATTAAGAGGCAAAATGTACCTCGAGTAATTGCGGTGGTGTTGGTGTGGTAACATGAAGGCGGAGTTCAAGACGGTCTTCAGTGTGGGCATCCCAGCAGTGAAGGAGAAGACTAGACAATAAAGGTGCCAAGGCCAAAAAGAGACGAGCATCCCTTACAACCCACACAACATGCACTCGCTCAGGCAATGGTGACTGGCAACACCTGAAATATAACATTTTTTGAAGAAAGCCTTTGTGCATTATGTTCAAGAAGGGAGAAAACATGTGTTGAATAGCAATACAAATAGTATACATGCATGTCAGTGTATACATCCACTGACATTTACATATTTCACAGGGAAGAAAGATAAGTAACTTTGATGCTTTAGTCATTCATAGTCTAGGCAACAGTGCATTACTGGAGTACTTTATGTATACAGTTCACTCACATCCTCAGTTATGCTTCAGTATATATGTATCTACCATCTTGAGGTTATCTTAAGATGATTTCATGGGAGATTCACAGTTACTCAGTGTCAGGGGCAGGAAGTCTGTTGGGCTTAGTTAGCTTCCCAATACAATGTAACATTCAATATTAATTGACCTATTAATTTATGTCTTCTTATATCTACCATTCTAATTTTCACTTCCTATTACTTCATTATATTTTCATAAACCTTAAACACAAATTCTCCTTAGTTGAATGTAGGTGATTTACACAACACTCTTTCAGTAGTTCCTCTGGTCTCCTCAAAAACTTCACCAGGATAGTGGGATTATCCATTTCTTTTGCATTCATTATTTATGATTTACTGAATGCTTCTTTCTGTTAAAAGAAAATATAATGCAACAAAGCAATTTCAGTATTGTACTTACAAGATGTGCGAGAGGGTAGCGGCCAGAGGTGTGATGCCCACGCCACCTGCGGCACTAATTACCACAGGGTAATGTAGCATGCTTTCACTTGGGGAACTGAAGGGCCCATCCACATGCAACCTGCATAGACACATGTAACAATGGTAAGCTCATAACGTGTTGCAGTCTGAAAAGTTTATGGAAAGGAAGGTAATCATTATGTAACCAGCATTAAGTCGTCAAACTTCTACTTTATACAACATTATCACTATTAGTCATTACTAACATGCAGACCTAAAACATTCCCCACAACTCTTCCATACGAAGCTATTTTAAGAAATCCTTCACAGTATCATTCACTCCCCGACAGAATAAGACTGCATTGTAAATGTGATACAGTATTATACTAAAGACAGCAGAAATATCAAATGGATTAAAACAATTTTAATTATTTTAATATACAGAACAGTATATGATTTTGTATGCACGAGTATGATCAGGTTTCCTACATTTAATACCATTAACTATGCATCCAAGAAACATATCTAGATGTAAGCAACCTTTTATACTTCAACTAAGGTTGGTATACATATCCTGGTTTACTAGAACTAGTCACATACTGTACTGTAATCAAGTAATTCTATAACTAGTAAACATGATGCTGTCCAGCACTTGCGTCACTTGCCTCACGCATGGTTCTTCTGTAATGAAGATGCTGAAGCAGCTTTTATCTTTAGTTAAACCCCCATTTTCACTTTTATGAGACCACTTTTTTCTTGACCGAGACCTCTTCATTGAGTTCAAGGTTGAGTTAGGTTGTGCGTTAATAAATGTACTCGTGCGAGTGTTGGGTTGTAGATCAGCCGATTGCTTGTTGGGCTCTGCATTTGACATGCATTTTTCACAGGAGTCTTCAGTCCTCCCTGAACTTGTGCAGTGATTAGACAACTTTGAGTGTCTGTGAGATTTAGAATTTTGTGACATCCAATACTTTGAGTATGGATGCAATCTCCTTGACTCTGAAGTTTTATAATGCCTGTTAGCACTCAATAGTGGTACATGTGAATTAAGCAAATTTAAATTCACTTTGTTAGACCCTGAGTGGGCATCATATTTTACATTTAATTTTGAATTTGAAGGATATATTGATTGATTTTTTAAATAAGAGATTTCTGTAATTTTCTGTTCACCAGGTGAAAATGAACAGTCTTTCAATTCATCCACAGTGGGCATACATGAATAAGCATGAGTATACTGAGTTAAATGAGAAAACATGGCATTTGTATGTGGATTTGAATGAGGAAATGAGGGAGAAAGCGAGTTTATGTGACTGAGCGAGAACTGACTAGACTGAATCAACGGACTAGATAGTGTTGCTGGACTAGACTGTGGAGATGTACTGCAGCACTGATGTTTCTCATTTTCTGCCCAGTGATTATTCAGCGACTTTGGACTGGAAACTCTAACAGGATGCAGTAGAGCTGCAACACGACTGCTCCAGTCTCCCCTCACACGCATGAAGATGGTGAAGGTGTTTGGGCAGTGCTGGGTCAGTGGCTGGAAAAGCAAATACAAAATTATTAAAACTTCAAAAAAATAAAATATTATGACTGTACATTAAGGCATTACTGTACATTAATTTCTCTGCCATAGAAAATTTGTAACAAAAAATCACAAATGTTTAATTTATTCAAATCAAAACACTAAGCAAAAAAATATTTTTTGTAAATGCATATACAGTACTGTACTGTAATACTTTCAAGTAATGTGTGATGATCAAAGCTTCTCTAAAGCACTGGTAATACAGTACAATCCTCTACTGTGTTAACGTGTGTGTCTCCCTTGTAGCATACATCAAGCTTGGAGTTATATGAAAAACAGCTTTTCAAGTGAATCATTCAGCTGCTCCATAGGGTACCTTACCTTGTGACCTTGCGATGATTTTGGGGCTCAACGTTCCCGCAGCCCAGTCCTCGACCAGGCCTCCTGCCTGGTAGGATACAGTGTCTGTAGGCAAGACTGTTGCATCCATAGGACAGATTCATGTACAGCCAGGCAGGATGATATTGTGATGCCAGTGTCAACAGGAACTTTCTACCGGAGTCCCTGCAGAACCATACTGCTGCTAGGGAGTTACTTAAGAACATTCAATTTAGACCACAATGACTGCAGATGGTACACTCATAAAAACTTGAAGCCCATGTGAACAAATCCACAAGGGCCATGATGAGGATTCGAACTTATGCCCGGGATTATCCCAGACGCTGCCTTAGTTGACTAGGCCACGACATGGTAAAAGAATTGTAACGGGGAGTTCCACTGGCATTTGAGGAATTTGAGATTTCACACCTCATTAATGACTAAGGAGAGATTGCTTGAAAAATTTCCTGCAGCACCTACCTAGCCTCCTGTTTCCACTGCCTAGTTTCATTACCTTACATTTACTCAGGTTGAACCTTAGTAGCCATTTGTTGGATAGGCACTGTTGCAGTGCCTTAGTCAGTAAGTCATTCTACTAGGCTGCACATGATCCTTATCTTCTGGCATAGTGACTATTACCTTAGAGAACAGTTGAATGTGACAGCTTAGATATACTGTACTCTGAAATTAGCTTACCATATTCTGAAATACTGTAAAGAAGAAAGTAAATCTGGAAGATTAAGGTTCACCAAAACAACTTGTAATATCAGTACTGTACAGATATTACAAGTCCAATGTCACATTAAGACATACAATACTGTATGAGAAATTATACCAAATGCATGCATTTTGTGTGTGTGGTAGTATAAATCTTTTAGACTTGTATGGATGCAAAGCTTTTCTGACAACAGGTATTGCTGGCCATTTGTTCCATTTTCCAATCCAATGTAATCTTTAGCAGTATGCATTAATGCTTATTAATGTTTATTTTCTCTTTAGTAGAAAATTGGGTTCCATTAACGTCATAAATATTATATTTATGCCATAAATATTATTTTTGTTATTCACCATCAGTGAGTTCCACTTTCTCATTTTCATGTATATATTCTATTAAAGTATGTTGACCAGACCACACACTAGAAGGTAAAGGGACGACGACGTTTCGGTCCATCCTGGACCATTCTCAAGTCAATTGTGATGAGGAAGTAGAGACAGACAATAAATAGGCAAGAGAGAGCTGAGGAGCAAAGAAAGGTGTAGTAGAGGAGATAGTAATAATAGTAAGAGCTGTGTGTGGTCTGGTCAACATACTTTAGCCACGTTATTGTGACTCATCGCCTGCATATTCTATTAAAATATTAACTTCTCACAAACCATGCAATTTAATCAACATGCAGTTTTGCATCCATAACCATTCTGCTACCTTCATCTGACCATGTTCTTTGTTCTCGCTTGTCTGTTATCGTGGTGTGAACCCCGCCCATGTTACAGTGTCACAAGCTGTTATGTTCACATGAAACTGGTGTTATAATGCCTCTCGTTATTGCCCATCAGTTACATTTGTGTGGCACAAATATATTTTCAGACTACGTGGGCCTCAAACTATTATTGATTTTATTAGAATCTACAAATTCTAATTTTAATTTTTTTCAACATAATGGAAAACTGTGTATTATCCAAGAATAGTTCTAATATTAATTCTTGTTGTTATCTATCAGCTTGACAAGACACTCACCCAAGATTAGGAGTCATTAGTAAGCAGACCCATCATGCTCAGCAAGGTCAGGAAACTGCTGCAGTTGCAGTGTGTAGCCAAATTACCTAAGGGATGCAAGGCACTAGGGTTAATGGGCCAAGGTTAGTGTAGACACAGGTCACACAAGCTACAACACTACAGTTGATCACATCACGTCCAACAGGGTTGGGACCGAGAATTGTCGGTTACCGCAATAATTCAATAAAGTTGTGGGTATCCACACTTGCTTTCTATAAGAAAGAATGATACCCAAGCCAATGTTGCAGTTCCTCTTACTGTTAGATATAACCTGAGTATCATTTTAATAGATTGGAGTCTCGGAGTTTTTAATGAAAGGTTGTGCAGACATTGTCCCCACATTTCAGGATTAACAGCCTCCGAACATGGCATAAAATTTTTTGTCCTTAAATACAAACCTAAATAATTGTTAATGAATAAGATGTAAATGAGCAGCAGCAATCAACCAGACGGTGGTAATGATCTAGGCTCAGGTGTGGTGACTGAAGATGAGACTGTTCAGAGCATTAATGGCAACATCAAAAGTAGCAGGAACCTACAGCACCAACAGAACAATTCTGTGCAGTTTCCCTATCATAAGCAAAGATAATTTGATTAATTATGCTTCCAAAAGTGAAAATTCAATGCTTAAAAGATTATGTCCACACACACTTCAGGTGGGGCAAACAATTGCTCAACAAGGAGACCAATGAAAACTGAGACAGTTCAATATAGATACTGTGGTTATTTGGCAAGATCTGAATGCTTAGGACCTTCAACCACCAAAGCCTCAGCAACTGTAATTCTATCTTTCAGTCAAAACTGAGTTTGTCAAGAACCTGTACATAATTTTAGGGTTAAGTTAGTAAAAGTACAGAATTAAAGCCCTTCAGTTATCCAAGGTAAGCTGAAATTACAGATTCCAGGAGTGTGTGTTCTGATGACAAAGAATGGGAAAAATGCTTTGTAGAGCAGCAGGTGCAGTCAAGACGATGCTTCGTAGGATAGAAGGTGAGATAGAGACTACTGGGAACAACCCATGGCATTAGGGCATGTGGTTGGAAATTTTGCTATAACATTTTTTTGATACACGTTTTAAAATTATACAAACATCTGTCTGTAGGGAGATCCAAGCCCATTAAGAATCTTCTGTGTATTAATACACAAGTGTTTAAAGTGTAAAGCTGATGCTCAACTGCGTCCTCGAGATGCGGCAAAGAGACCAAGAAACAAACAAAACAGTCCTGTTCAAACCATAAAGTATGTCTACCAGGGATCTATAAAAGCTGCGTGTGTGTGTGTACACAAAGTGTGCAAAAAATAGAGATGGGTTCTCACGTGGAGACCATGTACTATTATGCCATTCATAACAAACTTCTAAAACAATACTATAAACATTTTATTCAAATATTAGTGAAAAATGAGGAGTTTTTCAGGACACCAGAGAACACAAAATGAATAGAATACTCACCGAGGTTACGGTGTATGGGTGCCACTCAAACCTTGACACTGCCGGGCACTGCACCAACACATACTAGTGGAAAATAAAAGGATGCATCAAAAAATGTACAGGTGATCTGTGGTAATTGTGCGAGGGCAATGCAGTATTTTTCTACCAGCATAAATGGCACTAGATAAAAACAAATACGTGGTCTTTACAAAAGTGTGAATAATTGCGAAATATGGCTTTCTCAATCAGGTAATTTACGTAAGTAACAGACACCTCAAACCTGAGCTGGACACACAAATTCTCTCTGTTAAGGCACTGTATATTATGACATGCTACACAGATCTCAAATGATAAAAATTTACTTTACAATGACTATTCACTAATACTGTACTTAAAATTACATTACAAAAACATCTCATGAGAGTGGTCCACTTCAACAAGGACTAGGGATACTGTAAAAAGACTAAGTCAACAAACTAACACTTAACAAGTTACTTTACTCTGGATTCTGTAATCCATCAAGAATTCACACAGTCACTATAATTCATAGTTTAATATACTTTCATGATTAACATACTTTAAGTATCAACATAAGGCAATTTCAAATGACAAAGAATAACAATGCACAGGACACATGCTACAGGGAGTGACCCAAGACATGTTCAATAACAGATAAAAGGATGGAAAACATGCACATTTGCCAGCCATCACTGGGCTATAAAATCATCATAAATCCTACACCAGACTAAGGAACAATTACCACTATGTAAAAGTTTATACTCATCCAAAGAGGGTAAGATTTTTGAGTGCCACACTGATGTCGAAGAGCTTAACCTAGCATGACCGCAAACTAATAGTTAACGAGCCACTGGCAAGCTTTTTCCTCATCCGTCAGTGTTCCAAAATTATTTTCTTTTCAAATCATATTCCCTATCTTATTTCTTATTTTGTCTCATCGAGCTCTGAACTGGTTTTCTACATTTAAAACTGATTTTACAACATGTTTTCCAGTCACAGAATATACCTGGGATTGGTTCATTGCCAGTTATTTTCCCCTTCAAACCACCACAGTTTCAACTGTTCACTGTCAGCTATCAACACTGTTTCCCATATGCCTTGCCAAAAAGACCCCTTCCTTACAATTGATTTGTCATTACCCTTTTATAAACTACAGCAACTATGAACTTAGTGTCATTACTTACAAAATATCATGAGCTCATTTTTTGGCTCCAGTTGTCAAGCAAAAAGAGAAGGCTTGTAGGGAAGGTATGCAGAAGAGAGAACTTGTAGGGAAATGGTCGACATACTGTATCAAATTTTAAGCTCAAGTGAAATGCTATTTTCTTAGCAAGGCACTCGGGTGCTTCCTAAGGGGAAGATTACAGAAAGGTCTCACCATATATGATGTCACTGTCCATCACGACGGTGACATCCTTCACTGCTGTATCGTGGATCTTTTAAAATATTCCCATTGGGTCATTCTAATACTAGGGACACACTGTAGAAAAGCTTAATCCTATCGAGAATGACTACAGAAAGTTCGCTCAAACACTCGCAAGCATTTCTCGGGCCAAGTTGGCGTAAAATACACAACCAAGTAGTGCTCTCTCAAACTGCTATATAATGACACAACCCGTCCTCTCGAGCACTCACAGCATCACTAAATTGATGTACTAAATTGCCTGAACCTAACCTAACAGAGGACCCACAAATAGAAAATGGAACATCACATTAATTTGGCAGCTGCTATGATTTTTAGTACATCAGTTTTTAGCCTTGGGGGGGTTTATATGTCAAAATGCAATGTACTAGTCGAGAGGATGGATTGAATGACAACCAAGGGAATGGGAAATAATCTCACAACTACAATACAATAAATTAGTAAGAGTACAGAGAATAACTGGTGAGCTGAGAGGTTACCTGGCCAGGAGTGCAGGAAAAGCCAGACTGTCTAAGAGTAAGCTGCACAACATCACAAGGATATCGCACCACACTAATGATGTGCACGCTCTCGCGCCGCCTCCACAGCCGCACTGCCCAGTCAGCTGCCCATACTGCCAGAGCTACTGTAACCCATATCCAAGTCTGGTCAAATGAGAAATGGATAGATCCACTGTAAAACTAGAATAAGCAAAGCTGATGAGGTAAGATAGTTTATATTTTTGTCCATTACATGATGAATGTGATCAATGGTTTATAACCAAATTAAACTGTGACAGATCCAAGAATTTCTGAGAGTTTCGATAAAATATTTGAAAAATGGTTACTAACACAGGTTTAGTTAATTCTAGAAAGAAACCCCAATTAGAATGGACGATTTGTCTTCTAATTGTGGTAAGTGGTGGACGATTTGAATGGTGAAGTAGGAGTATGTCCTGCTAATGGTGAAGTAGGAGTATGTCCTGCTAATGGTGAAGTAGGAGTATGCCCTGCTAATGGTGAAGTAGGAGAATGGTCAAGTAGGCATTACCATAGCAAGCCTGTTGCCCCATTGTAGGCAGTGCACATTCATATCCAACCTCTCTTCCCCATGTATTTGTTGAGCCTTTTTTTAAAACAAGTTTATACATTTTCGTCAAAGATCTTGGCCAGCAACCTTTTCCACTTGTCTACCATCATGTTGCCAAACCCATACTCCTCCCATGTCCTTCCTGAATCTCAGCTTCTCCAGCTGACAGCCATTGTTACAGGTTCTGACCTGGTCTGAGAGTTTCAGTACCTTGCTCATATTTCCCCTGTTGATACCCCCTCATCCACTTGAAGACCGTGAGCATGTCTCATTTCACCCTGCTCCTTTTATTCATTTCCAGGGAGTGTGGGTCGAGGTCTTTTAACGTTTCCATTTATGGGAGGTTCCAAATAGCAGGGATCAGTCGCTGAATTACATGAATTCAAGGATCTTACGCTGAATTTTCTCGAGGTAATTGATAACTACTGATCAAATGATAGTGCCATGTATGATAAGATTCAGTGAAAAATGAGTGACCATGCTCCAAAAAGATACAAGATGTGAAACAGTAAAGAATTGGTCATGGAGTACAAAAGGAGAGTTTATACTATAGTGACCTTTGGCAAAAGAGCATGAACAAATCAATCTTGGTAATGATCTATGCCTTATGCTGCATACCTGCGAATTAATGGAGCCAAACACTGGTGCTTTGAGACACATCCTATGCTTCTTGCTAAACTTTTGAGATCTTATTTCTCCCCAAGTTGCTGTTCTCCTTCCTGACTCCTCAGAAGTCTCTACAATTACCAGATGTTAAATGTCATAAATGCAGTCATATCAACTACTGTATATAAATCATAATTACACAGTGCGAGTATGCCACAGTGATAAATGGTATTATAAATTTAAGAAATCGACAAGCTATTGTAAATTATAAGTACATACTGTAACGTAAGTGTTAAGAGCAGACCTTAGTTTGAATTGTACAGTATTAGTATTAATAAATAAATAAAAATAGGATACTGGCACTAGTTTAACAAGGTAGAAGCATCAATATAATAAGCAAGCACAATGTTCCATACCATAACTTGCTTAATTATGATTATTACAACATTTTATGAATATACAATACAGGTACATTATTATAAATACAGTATAAAATATATATTTAAAAAGAGGCTGTTTCATCCAATTGTATCTACATGACTTAATCATACAAGCACTTGACAATTGTAAATAGAAACCTCATCTATATCTGTAAGAAGGAATGTCTGTCCAAAGTTGGAAACCAGATGTTTGGGGTTAGCCTCACCCAACTTTGCAGTGGGAAGGGTCAGGAATACAGGATGGACATAGGTTGGTAGGGGTTGCCAGAATTCAAGAGGGTACAGCGTGTCATGGTCATATGCTGACCCCCCCTTGACTGATTTTGGCACTGCCTGCCAACTGCATATGGCTAAATATTTGAAAAATACAAAGATATGAAGCAAAATGTAATCCAAGAAATATATAAATACAAATTTTCAATAATTATGAACTCGAGATTAGTGCACAATATCTGTGCAAGAAACACCTAAACAATTTTGTTGTGCAAATCTCATGCTTTAATTTGTATTCGGGCAAACCAATCCTTGCACCATTTGAATTAATGTTGTTACACACAAATATGCATTTGTGTGAATTTGCATTCTCCAAACTCTTGCCGATCAAGGGCCACATGTAGTGTTCATGACACGATGTACAAGTTATTAATCAAGTCAACATACCTTTGTCAACAAAACGTTGAGTGTGAAGTTTAGTGCTAGGATGCTTCATATTGGAGGCAGACTTGAAGTTATTATGAGCAACACTATGTTCACTGTAGTCATAATTTGAGTTAGCTTTAACATAGCCACTGTCAGATTCAGAAGCTGAGCCCTTATTATGAGGGCCTACTTCTGAATTGCTATATCCAGAGTCAGAATCATGGAAGCTATAATGTAAATCAGAGCCTATATAGTCATTTTCTGATTCAGATGCAGGGCTTCCAATATGTGGATCTGGCTCAGGATAGCCATATTCTGAATCAGGTTCACTGTAGTGATAGTCTGAATCAGGCCCAGGACTTCCAATATGTGGATCTGGCTCAGGATAGCCATATTCTGAATCAGGTTCACTGTAGTGATAGTCTGAATCAGGCCCAGGGCTTCCAATATGCAGATCTGGCTCAGGATAGCCATATTCTGAATCAGATTCACTGTAGTGATAGTCTGAATCAGGCCCAGGGCTTCCAATATGTGGATCTGGCTCAGGATAGCCATATTCTGAATCAGATTCACTGTAGTGATAGTCTGAATCAGGCCCAGGGCTTCCAATATGCAGATCTGGCTCAGGATAGCCATATTCTGGACCAGGTTCACTGTAACGATAGTCTGAATCAGGCCCAGGGCTTCCAATATGCAGATCTGGCTCAGGATAGCCATATTCTGAATCAGATTCACTGTAGTGATAGTCTGAATCAGGCCCAGGGCTTCCAATATGTGGATCTGGCTCAGGATAGCCATATTCTGAATCAGATTCACTGTAGTGATAGTCTGAATCAGGCCCAGGGCTTCCAATATGCAGATCTGGCTCAGGATAGCCATATTCTGAATCAGATTCACTGTAGTGATAGTCTGAATCAGGCCCAGGGCTTCCAATATGTGGATCTGGCTCAGGATAGCCATATTCTGAATCAGATTCACTGTAGTGATAGTCTGAATCAGGCCCAGGGCTTCCAATATGCAGATCTGGCTCAGGATAGCCATATTCTGGACCAGGTTCACTGTAACGATAGTCTGAATCAGGCCCAGGGCTTCCAATATGTGGATCTGGCTCAGGATAGCCATATTCTGGACCAGGTTCAGGATACATGGTCTCTGTGTGGGAAGTTTGGTTCTGATTGTTGTGCTCCAAGACGTGGTAGCTAATTCTACTTTTCTCTTGACTCTTAAGGTTGTAGTCCAGGTTTGTGTAATTAGCCGCACGACTAGGCTCGGGAAACCCTGGAAACAAAATAAATCTTTGAAAACATCCTTTAGGTCAATAATATGAAAAACATTCATGAACATAAAATAAGAAGGAAGTTAAAAGATCATACCATTTACACTTCTGTAATGATATCATCTACCTTATATAGCATTATATTACAGTATACAGTATAATAATTAGCTTTTGTATCTGGCATTGCTCAGGTGATAGGGGCCACATCTACACTACACATGAAGTGCAATGTAATGGAAATGAAAGGTCCCAAAATGTGAACTGATACAGATGTAAATAAAAGGTGTACTTCTCTCAACCAGTTTAAAAAAAAAACTAAGAAATACCTTGAGGTTCTTCCGGGGCTTAGTGTCCCTGCAGCCCGGTCGTCGACCAGGCCTCCTGGTTGCTGGAGGCCTGGTCGACAATAAGTAATTGATATCTCGTAACAAATTTCACTCACATTTTTCATTCTTCACTTCAGTCTTCACTGTAACCATCTTCACTGCACCTAACCTTCATCACTATAACCACCTTCACTACCCAGGCATTGTCAGGTACCCCATATAGGCAGTGTATAGATTTTCAGGGGGTACTAACACTTCACCATGTTGAACATAATATACTCTATGAAAATAAAGATGGAGTCTGGAACGTTGGTGTCAAAGGGGAACTTAGGAGGCATCCCCAATTCCCCTATGACCATTCCTCAACAATCACAAGTCACCCTACAAAGTTGAGTGAGGCTAGCTATAGGATTATTTAGTAAAAAATAAAAATTTAGCTACTACGTACCTTCCGCTTTAGTGTGAACGTCTCTATACATGTGACACCCTGGGATGTGGCCATGAAGGTTCTTCTGCTCCTTCAGAACACCACTGTTGGTAAAGATCTCCAGTAATTATATGGTTTATGAAAATAAACAAAAGTGATTAACATTTCAGATATCTCTTCAAACAATAATAGCTTGATTAAATATTTGATTTTCACCTTATTTTGTATACACACCAACACTGAATTGCCCAAGAGCAGGAAGTGAAGTGTCTAATTCTGATTTATTTAGTGTATGAGAAGTGTTGATTTACCCCCAGGATTACATTTCTTCAGCATTCCTGAGAATCACACTAATAAATACATTAAAGGAGCTATTTTTCATCTCATGTATCCTAGAACAAAGCCTGAATAGGAGGAGTAAAAGAACCTCAACTTACAGTACAGTATATAAATAAACTGCCTCACATTAAGCAGTGCATAAATTTTGTGTTTAAGTTAGGAGTTCACTACACATTATTTATATTGTAAATCATACATTAGTAAAGATGAAATATACAGTTATCAAGACAAAACAATTAGGCTCTCTTCTATTGTTTTTATTTGACAGATTAGACGTGAAATTCCTGTGCATCAAGGTACAGTACTGGTACTAAAAATTACAAATTTGTTTACATGCAGAATGTTAAATTAGACCAAAAATATTACACAGAACTCAACACTAAATATGTAGAGTAGATGAATGCTTTTTTTGTAATATTCTTGATTATTCCTTCTTTCAAACCACTTCACCCTTGAAAAAGCCCTATAATTTAAGATGATTCAGAGCTGCAATGGAAGAAATCTGGGGCTCATGATGGTATTAAATGAACATTGCAGACCTGATTGGATGGATTATAAGCAGGAGGAGGAAGAGGAGACCGAGGTGGTGCGTGTAGAAGAAGACATCATAGTTTCTTCTTCGTGCCCAGCGGGTGGAAGTGATCACAAGAACAGCCAGTATTATCATCATCGCTGCTCCTGTTATGCCTGGAACTGTTTCATGCAATCAACACACATTGTTTGAACTGTACTAAATCATTTTTCATCACCAAATGATAATAGTGTTCTGTACTATATATCACAATTGAATAAATATATGTGATCAGTTTTCCTACTTTATGCTAATTGCAATACAGTACATAAAATGACAACCTTTATAGGGACCATTCAGCAGGGACAAAGCTGTTTGAAAACTTTTTGAAATTTCAGAAGAGGGATACAGTTGACGCTGAGAGCCTACCTGTTGCCACGAAGACTCGCAGAGGGCTCTGGGAAAGCACAATGTACATTAGCATTGACTGATGGAGCTGGTGCATAATTTTGAATGAAAATAATACTTTGTAATAGTAGTGTAGTATTAAAAGGCTAAATAGCTCATTCTACCTGGGACAAGAAGTAGATATGTCTTTCACAGTGATCAACAGCTGAAAATTTAAAAGTACAGTACAGTATAAATAAAAGGAACAGTATTTTAGAAATACAACATTGCACGGTAATTAACTGTTCATTTCCAGAGTTAAGTCTTATAAAGTAATAAACTCCAACAAAATAAATATAAAAATGGAAGACTTTATGGAGATAAGAGATATGTTTAGACCAGCAGACAATGATAGAAAATTCCCTGCAGAGCAAGGAATCTGCAGGTCTGCTGCCCCATGAGCATGTTATGTGCTTGTGCTCAATAACTCATTACACTATACTGTCCAACAGATCCCCAACTCTGTCCATTGAGGAGACAGGTAAATGTTTATACTGTACCTGTATATATGTTCTTTAGAGTTGTATAAATGAATGAATACTTCTGTGGCATAAAATGAAAACACTTACACCCAGTGGCATACTACCCGGTGACCTCCCTACCCGGTGACCTTCCCACCCGGTGACCTCTCACCTGGTGACCTTCCCACCCTGTGACCTCCCACCTGGTGACCTCCCTCCAACAGGTAGACAAGTGAACATGGCCATTGACACACACACTCACCTCACCCCTGTAGGTTGCTAGGTTGAGGTCAGGGTAGTGGCTGCTGTAGTAACGGGAGAAGTTGACAGCATTTGACAGATGGGCTCCTGTGTGCACTACTGTAACACAAAGGTACACCACATGTGTAATTAGGTACACAACATGTCTAAATTCAAACATTGGATGTGTTGCTGGTTTAAACAAAATATCAAATGCACCACAAACCAAGCCTTTTGTGTGCCTTTTGAAATGCAACTTTTCATGTAATCCTTTCAAAGCTTAATTCTTTCCAGATTTTGGCTAAATACATGTCTACTGTTTCATCTCACAGTACTGTACTTGCTCTTGTGTTCCAACTCACATTACATAAGAACAGGTCTACTGGCCTATAAGAGGCAGTTCTTATTTATTTCCATCTAAACTCATTCGCATGTCTAACCTTTGCTTCAAATAAGTAATTCCCCACCTATTTTTTTGCAGTATCCTATTTCTTATTTTCATCATTTATATATACTGTACTGATTTCTTAGCTGACGCTCCCTATTTCAACATTCTCCAGCTGATATCATTTAACGTTAATCATTTGGGACCATAGAAACTTGCAGCATTAACCCTCATTTTGCATCTATTATAAATGTATACCTAAATTCTCTTCTAACCATTTTTGAGTCTTCTTAGTTTCCCTCTCTATTATTGTATGGCTGACAAATGTGCTAGTGTTGCTCATCTATCTTGTTGAGATGAGATGAGCAACGTTTCGCTCATCTATCGCTTCGTTTATCTATGGTAAAGAAGAGAGCCCAGGACAGAGCCCTGAGGCACTCCGCTTACAACAGTTTCCCCCCACTCTTACTAGGCTCCATTACGTGTTTTTCCCTAATTTCCCCTCCCCCACTCTCACAATGGTCCCCTCTCTCTCACACTGGTCTCCCCCCTCTCCCTAACACCCTCCCCCCCCCCCAATATGCATGAGGAGGTGACCCCAAAGCGCCCTCTGGGGTGACCTGCTGCCCCCTATAACTGGGTCACGTCATTCACAAGCTAATGTGGCGTGATAGGCATCATAATTATATGAGCAGCCTGAAACATCCTCTTCCTCACCAGAACGGATCAGGCCAGCGCTCCCTACGTCACACCCTCTCTCCCCCCCACACACACACACACATCCTCTCCCACACACACACATCCTCTCCCACATACACCCACATGCTCTCTCCCACACACACAATAAACACCCTTTAAATAGTAAAATAGTAATCACACACACCCTTTCACACATTCTTACAGACTTGGGGGACCTTATACCCAATATGCAGCCTTCTCCAGTGTCACTATAGCCATGTTTAACATCTTCCCCTTCACTCTTTCCCTCCTCCTTTCACCCCCTCCCTCTTCAATAATTTCCGTCCCCTCCAATCTTCCCACCCAATCCCCCCTCTCCATCATCCTCCTCCGATCCCTTCCTCCTTCTGTCCTCTGTCTTCACCTGCACTAATGACAACGGTGGCGGCGACCACGAGGTGGGTCGTCTTGGCGGCGGGGGCGGGTAGGGTGGCGGGTAGGGCGGGTGGGCGGCGGTGTGGGCGGGCGAGGGCGGCGGCCAGGGTGGTGGCCAGAGCTCGACACATGGGCAGCACCAAGAAGCAGCAGGACAGGTTGAGCACAGCCGCTGAGCCCCTCGACACACACAGGCCAAGCTGGAGGCACAGACCACACTATATGCCTTCAAAAATTAGAATTTGAATTTGAATTCAAATTTGATGGCCTAAGGGTTTGGTAAGAGGATAAGAAATCAGAAAATAGGATATAACCAAGTTACACACTGTTACCACACTGTTTTGACTGTTACCGCCGGAGGAGGCTAGTTTATTGTGCACCCCATACTCATCCTGTGAGCGATATAGCGCCAAAGGGATTCTAGAGGGCACAAAAGGTCTTTATCAGACCCTAACGGAGATTATTACATAAACAATTTCATCTATCCTTCACCCCTTATAATTATAATGCCAGCTAGTAACAGAGAATGTTCTATTTCAAGAGCTATATATTTACAGCGACGTTTTGGTCCGTCCATTATGAAATCGACTTGAGAATGGTCCAGGACGGACCGAAACGTCGTCGTCCCGTCACCTTCTGGAGTGTGTTCTGGTCACATCTTCAGCCACGTTATTGTGACTCTTCGTCTGCATCAGGAAATAGGATGGGGGATGATATGTGAGTGGGATGAAAAGTGTAGCGGCCTATCCACCTTGGGCCAGATTCACGAAGCAGTTACGCAAGCAGGAATCTGCTTGGGACCATCCCGACTTTAATATCAGGTTCCCCAGTTTGCCTTTGACCATCATAATTAGACAGGTGTTCTGACTTCAGTGCTCTTTAACCCCTAGTCTGGTTGTCTCCAGCTAGTGCCAAGGACAGACATTACAGGGCAGGGATTCCATCTCATGTAGGTCATCGAATACGTTATAGAACTGATGAGTTAGCTAAGGAACCTACCTTCAGAGTTGATCATGACTTTATGACCTATGAGGATACTGACAACAATAGTAGACCAGAAACTAGATGGGCATGGGGTACAATACAGCTCACAGGATGAGTATGGGGTACAGTACAGCTCATAGGACGTGTATGGGGTACAATACAGGTCACAGGATGAGTATGGGGTACAATACAGCTCACAGGACGTGTATGGGGTACAATTCAGCCCACAGGACGTGTATGGGGTACAATACAGCCCACAGGATGGGTATGGGGTACACAGTAACAGAAGACAACAGTACTAACCCCAAGCATGCGTCTGGTGTAGTAGTATTGGGGCAGCATCTTGTAGCGGAAGTAGTCGACATAGAAGACCCCGGCACACGCCCCAGTCCACACCACCTGCCGACCGACACAACACTCTTAATACCTTCATGTACACTCTCTTATATATAGTGAAGATATGAACACAGATACAGTAATTACCTTAAGTGAAACTAGTAATCCTAGGCTTTCTTGGTAGACCTGCTTCCCTCTGAAAATGGAAAACACTCTCTCCTGGTTCGAGCCCCAAAGAACCACCACCACTGAGCCACCACGCCCAGGACCACGGTGGTGGGCGTGGTGGTGGACGTGGTCTGCAGTTTCAAGTGTAGGTATGATAGAGCCCAATAGGCTCAGGAATTTATACACCAGTTGATTGATGGTCAAGAGGCGGGACTAAAGAGCCGAAGCTCAATCCCCGCAAGCACAATTAGGTTAATACCAAGTGGGCAGTCACCAACCCCCCCACTAAGTGGGTACAGTCCCCCCCTCCCCCCACTAAGTGGGTACACCCACCACACAAAAGGGGGCAACTTTCCTAACTAAGAGGGGGGGGGGCACAATCACCCCCTCACCAACGGGGGCACAGTCACGCCCCCTGGCCAAAGGGGGGCAAGGCAGAGTGAAGGCCGAGCTACATAAGGCTTCACAATTTGGCAGGATAATAGTGCATGTGGTGAGTCCCTTGTATGGTGTGGTGACCGCCACGGAGACCCCTGCCCTCCCCCCTCCTGAGGGGGGGGGTGCCCTCATGCCCCCCCCACATTATGGATACACAGTATAAACAAAACAAGACTATGGGCGCCAGTAGTCCTGCTTGGCCTCTCCACCGTTCACAACGTCACTAAACTGATGTACTACTACATTACCTAACCTGACAGAAGATGAACAAATCCACAAGGGCCGTGACGAGAATTCGAACCTGCGTCCGGGAACATCCCGGACGCAGGTTCGAATCCTCGTCACGGCCCTTGTGGATTTGTTCATTTGATGCATCACGTTAGTGTGATCTCTGTGTGTGCTGACAGAAGATCCGGGCACAGAAAACGGGACATCACGTCAATTTTGCGAGCCGCTATGATTGTTAATACATCAGTTCTTGGCCTTAAGGGATATATATATATATACGTCAAAATGCGATGTACAATTGAAGAGAACTGGTTGAGTAGTGACCTTGTGTGACCTGTTACTCTCCTCCCTCCAGTCTCTGTTTCCTGGCGGGTAGGTATTCCCTCCAGCAGCTCACAATGTTCTTTCTCAACTGGATGCACCAACCAACTGTGTGAAACAGGGTCAAAGAAATGCTGGCAATGCAGAGTATCTTGAGATGAGATGATTTCGGGATTTAGTGTCCCCGC